ATTTGTTGACAAAAATTGGTCTTTTGAACTTTTTTCGATTTCATTCAATGGTAAATCAGCCAACCCTCAACCCTCTAAACATGTATGTGAAAACATACAAGCATAAAAGAAACGACAAATCTAAAATCAAACAGACATAAATACGTTTGTTTACTTCTATTAAATGATACGTTTAAATGAGGCTTGTGCATCTGCATGTGCGATTAAATAAAAAGGAAAATTGGCTAAGAACATGGTGTAAAGATTCAAAAAGTGTGAGGCAAAAGGCTGGCATGTGACTTCATTCTTAAACTATGGAACATGATACTTAATTGTCGAGTTTGACATTTTTCATTTAATTCTAAAATTATATACAGTTTCATTATCGCTTATATATTTGCCTTTTGCCGTAGGTAATACAAAAATAAGTTCTATGAATTGTAGACTGTTTTGTTTACTGATCGAGAAAACATAAAACGATTCTTCTTCAATAATTACTCTACGAATTAGCATTTAATTAAATTTAATTTAGCGTAAAATTTACTTTCTCACACTCTTTGTCATTCTTCTATGATACTTTTACGAAGCTTGAATAGAAAATTTTCTTTCACTATAGTTATTTCATTTTCAGTTTAATTTTTATATTGTTTCATACCAAAGAAGCATCTCTGCGACTGTAAACATTTATTTATCACAACTCATGAAATTTGAAGCTTTTTGCTTTTGATTAGTCAAATGAGAGCTTTTTTATGTATTTAACTTCATCCGAAAAAGTTTAAAAATTAACCTCCTTAATTCCTTTCAATGAATGTTATAATTTCTTAAACTTTAACTGGCTAAAATTATTTATTTATTATGAGTAATCAATCTTTCCAACGGTATAGCGAACTGATAAAATTCTGAAACATGTCTATGAATGCCTGGGAATGAGATGTTGAATATAAGATGAAACGCATGCGTCAGTTCTGTTTAAAAAGCATTTATTATTATCATGAAGCTCATGTCTCCCTTTTATTTTCCTACACAGATAAAGGAGAGGAAAAAAAATTGTAGAAAGAGAAAACAAACAAAGCCATTTGATGTGACGACGGCAACTACAACACAATAATAATAAAAATAATAATAATCTAATGTATGTGAATAAGAGACATTTGTATCACTGTTCCATTCATTCAGTCACAGTATATGATGCCCTGAAGGCATGCGCTCGTAATACAGACATAAAATTTTACGATTTTAATGAAATTTTTTATTCTCTCCAATTAATTTATTATATAATTAAATACATGTCTCATTCGTACACACTATTGGAGATGCCAAACTTTGTTTTCGACATAAATGCAGGAATAGAACAACCACCCCAACAATCATTCCGCATCGTTTGAAGTATTTTTCAGGAAATTAAAGATTATATCAAGATAGATGGATAGATGCTTGGCTGGATGAATAAATAAAGAGAGGAAAGAACGAATATATTTGTGAACAGGGAAGTTGAGGAAAAGAGGGAAATTTATGGAGCCAAAAAAAGGAAAACTGATGATGTGAAGAATGGTCCTTTTTCAAAATGGCGTTCTCTTCTTTATTCTTATTATATACTATAATTAGGTACCTAATAATGTTAATCCACATCATAATGTGTTTCATTGGATAACATCAGAATTATTAGAATTATCAAGAAATGCCAGTGTCCATACAATGTTTTTTTTTATTATACGCGTTATGGAGATAGAAAATAAGATTACTTTAAATAATTCTTTTTATGTCAAGCTCATTGGTAAAACAAAAAGAAGGAGATAGGAATAGAGAAAGAGAGCGAACAAGAGGTTAATTTGAATTTTTAATTAAAACACTTTCATATAATTAAATTTTTTTATCGCTTGTCATCGCATCTAAAAACTTTTCTCTTTTGCTTTTGCACATTAATAATAAATTTTCTTTTTCTCTTTCTGACCGTGTATATTTTTCATTGCAAAAGAAAAAAGTGAATTTCCATCAATTAACGACATTTTTCTTCTCCTTTTTATTATACAACATTCATGGCTTGTTTGCTGAATAATTGAAGAAAATTGGAAAATTATTAAAACAGAGAGAAGAAAAAAAGTTTTTCCTTCCATTTTTGCGCTCCGCATAATGAAAATACAAACTCGACTCTCTCCTCCATCATAATTAAATTATTTTGTTAATTTTCTATTTTGTCCTTAATTGGAGGAAAAATTTTCTTTTTCTTTATCGTTTTGTCGTACGACTACGATGATGATGATGATAAAATTGGAAGGCAAAAGAATGAAATTAAATCGTTATTTCATCATGCGTACGAATGAGATTTCTACTCTTCTTACTGTCGTTACTTTTCTTCTGTGCCCTTTAGCATCGTTTTTATGCATATTTCATAATATGACACGACGATAAATTCATGAGTCATTTATGAAAATAACATTATTATATTATATATATATTTTCACTTGTTTACACAAAGATATATACACACACTTAGAAAAATGTAAGAACGAAAGTGAAAACCGAAGAATGGGAAATTAGTCACGATCAAGAAAATGTTTTGCACGTCTCAGTTAAGAATGGGGTGAAGCTTAAGAAGGTTAAAAATATTATGTATCAAAGGGAAAAAGTGTGAGTTCAAAAAGACTAAATCAATTTCTCATATTATATTGTGTTTGTAGGTGTATATACACACAACTTTTCTTCTTGATTCTTCCTTACTAACCATTATGAAAGTAATTTTCTTGTTGAAAAGCAGATAAATGTTTTTGACAGCTCCCTTAATTTTCTCCTCTTTACTTTTCTACCTACATACATTTTTAAATTTGCACGAAACAGAATAAAATTAATGGCATTCAAAAGTTTCGTAGGCAAATTATAATCGGTTTATAAATTGAAAATGAATTAAATAAATTATTCCCTTATTCTATTAAGCAACGAGGTAGTTGTTTTAAACCTTAATTACGAGTTGCAGAGTTTGTCATAATTCAATATCTCTTTATCAAATGTATGCAGCATAAAAATATCCTTTTATAGAAACGTCGAGTAAATTCATTTTCGTTGAACCTTAGAAAATTGATTTATCTTCTATTCAGATGAAAATTGTTGGAAAATTTTCATCTCTTCATATATCCATCAGCATAAAGCTATATGACGCGTTTCATAAATTGTTGGGTAAAGAAATTCGGAAGGAACTTTAAGAATCAAATAAAACGAACAATGACTTGTTCAAATGTTAAGGTTAGAAGTATGTTCATGAAAAAAAAATCAATTTCCAGCTTGTCAACATAAGTTGCTTCCTCGTCAAAATAGTTAATCTATTCGTAATTGTGAGATTTGTCAGATGGCAAAATTTAGCCTTAATTAACCCTTTTAAATGATGAATCGATATTCCAGTGGTTTCTCATAAAATCATGTCCTTACTAGATTGATAAAATAAAATTATCTTAATGGAGTGGTCATCGTAGTCCAAAATGTGTTTATAATTTAATTATTTTTGTAGCTCGTATTTTAATTGATCGCATTTTTACTCACGTCATTTGACTTCATCTGCTTCTCCCTTCAAATATATCACAAGGATTTTATTAAATTGTTAACATACGAATGACAGAAAATGTGAAGTTTTTAAGAGCTATGAAGGATTTATTTTTGGAATACGGTGAAAAGAAGAATACTTTATTGAATTTCAAGGGAAAAATCGATTTTCGATATTTTAAACTTTTAGTTTGTTTTGTAAATTTTATGGGAATATACAAATATATCATAAACACAAAATTGAGAAGAGGTAGATGAAAATTATACTTCCTCTACTTTTTAAATTTGACTGTACTTAGAACTCACATGAGCTTTTTACACAATTATAAATAATAAAATTGGAAAATGGTTTTGGTAAAGAGTGAAAACTCAAGTAATGGTGATGTTAATAATATGATGATACAAAAGTTCTTGAGGGGTTTGTTTTAGTTTAATTTATCTTATCTACATGTATACCTTGTGTATACAAACATACGTAAAATTTTGATGATATAAAGGCCATATTTGTCATGATATATGTAGCAAGCAAAAGCAGTAGATATAGCCGTTTCGTTAGAAAAGATAATTGCTTATGCTTTTATTATCCTGAACTGGACAAATTTCTGTTATGGCTATGGTTAATGATGTTTTCCTTATTTTATAATGAAAATTTGTTTTACAATCCAAAGTACTCTATATTCTTTAGCACATAAATGTTATGCAGTTTCTCGGGTAGGTTAGTATTATATCTATTGTTATTGTAGAAAAATGAAATTTTCTACTCCTCATCTATTTTCATTATGGTGCTCAAAATTCAATTAAATTCTACTTTGCATGTTTTGCCATAGACCTGAATGAGTAAACAAAAATAGAGTCTCATAAAATCTTTTATAACATCAATTTAATATAATTATTGCTCGTTAAAATCTTGTTGAAATTTTTTATTCGGCATGGATATGATAAAACTATAAAAGTGAGTATTCATAAATGAAAAATTGATATTGACAAAAGAAAGCAATAAAATTTCTTGATGAACATCATCATTATGCATTCATTTAGAAAATCACAAGGGGTTTTAACACTATTTTCCATGCAACAATATACCACAATGATTATACAATATCATTAATCAATTTTCGAAAGGCATTAGACGTGAATTTTCAAAAAGTCACATAAACAATAGACAATTGCAATCAAACAAATTGTTCAGTAATTGATCGACCCTCCCTTACGCACTCAAACATACTTCTATAAATATTTCATATTCATATATACAATATCTTGATTACAACTAATTTCCATTATGATTTGAATAAAATATTAAAAACATACTGAAATGTGATATACAATGGGAACAATTAAGGATAATTTGTGACACATTATCTATGAATCAAAAAGCTTTTAATGCATTAATTTATTCTAATTCTTTTCTACCAACCATGATATTAGTAAATACTGAAGACATTTTTGAAACTAATTTGTTTTTTATTTTTTTTTCTCCCAATAAAAAGGTTTGGTTTCAGGTAAGAACAAATAACTTGATTTTTTTTTTAAATCAGCAATAATTAATTTCTTTTAAATAAAATTATCGCAGAATCGCAGAGCAAAATGGAGAAGACAGGAAAAATCTGAAAGTTTAAGGCTTGGACTATCTCATTTTTCACAACTACCACATCGTTTAGGATGTAATGGAGGCATGAATATGCCCGTTGATCCATGGCTTTCACCGCCTTTACTTACCGCTTTACCAGGTATTTAATAAATCAATTACTATTCTTATAATATTACTATTAATAATGTTTTTCTAGGTTTTTTGTCACATCCACAAAACGTATATCCAAGTTATCTTACTCCACCACTTAGTTTAAATCCATCCAACATGAATATGGGTCAGTTAATGTCACATCCAAATGGCTCGATAAGAATTTCACCACAGAATATACAACCGCCTTCTCATTTGCCTCCAGCTGCAATACCTACAAGTTCAGCTTCAACAATTCCAATGATGGGAAATCAGCAAGTTATGGTTCAACATTCATCATCAATGAGTCCATCATCAAGTATGCACTCAATGAGATCACCATCACCTGACAAGAAAAACTCTGTAGAAATTAGAGTAGATAGTCCAGTTGATGATCGCTTAAAAGAAGGCAGTGCATTAAATATGACAATAAGTTCCAGTCCAACAGTAAATGCGGTCACAACAGATATACGAACAAATTCAATTGCAGCTCTTAGAATAAAAGCTAAAGAGCACCTCGAGAATATTAATAAAAATCTAACAATGGTATAATTAATTGAGTGTAATGTAAATTGAATATTTTCTGAATTTAATAAAACTCTTAAGATTAGCAAAAATAAATAGATTAATTAAGTTGAAAGGAAAACAAATTGGAGACGATACGATATCAATTAGTAAAGTTGAATTTAAGCTCAAATAAAAATGACTTTATTATGAATTGAATAAAAAAAATTGGAATAGATAATTTTTTTGTTAGATTCTAGTTTTTTGTTGCTTTAAAAATAAAAGGCTCAATGATTTTTAAAATTTACATTTTTTATTAAAATCATATCCATGAATTAGTAATAGATTTTAAGTATATAAATTTTTTTTTTTGCAAATGATGAGATAAGGAATATTAGTATTTGTAAAGCAATCAATTAAAGAATGGTTAAATGTAAAGTCACTTAATAAATTATTAGGTTAAGTAAAGAATAAGCAAATGTTTTAAAAATATAATTACGCTTTGTAAAAATTACGTTAATTTCAAATACCTAATTAATAAAATGTAAAAGAGAAAATTATACAAAATGTAGATACAAATTCATTTATTATTTCTATATTGTCCTTATTAAGGCATGCAATTAGTTTTTCAGGATAATAATGAAAGTGTTCATATTTTGACTAATGACACATAATTACTTACATTATATAGGTACAACATATTTACGTGTTTAATCTCCATGTCAATTCTATTACACATCGACAGTTAGATATCGTTAAATATTGAGTTAACATATCTTACACATGCCATAAAATAACGCAAGATATTTTTTTTATCTTTTATTTATAATTACACCCGTTAATGTCTAGAGTGATAAAATTACATTGCTAACAATAATAACATGTAATTCAATATTGAAGAGGTGTTAATATTTTCTTATCTGATTTGGAATTAATGAAATTGGTATCATCATATGAATAAAGATATGATCTTTTAATTCTTCTTTCGTTTCCGTATTTATTTCCTAATATTTAATGCATTGTTTACTATTACTTCACACTCTAGTAGGTTCTTCATTCATATACATATTCAAAACAAGACCTTAAAACAACTGATGAAGTTTTATGAATTAATTCTCTTCTCTTTACCCTGTTTTTTCGTTATAAACTACTACTCGTTACTAAGCTACTAGTGAGCCAAAAAATCACTTTTTTATTCTTCTAAACTACTAGCTTATAACGAAAAAACAGGGTAATGCTTTTAATACAACTTTTAGGAAATATTTGCCTTTACTGGGGATCTTCGATTTGAGGAGGTGTTTTATTCCAGAAAAATCCTATTCAAATCGAATCTACTCAAATCGAATTATTTACTTTTTGTATGAAAAATGTCCGTTACAAAAACAAAATTTTGAATTTTCAATTCATTAATTTTCGTTTTTCAAATCGAATCTATTCAAATCGATTCTACTCAAATCGAGGACCCATAGTAGTCATAATCTAGTTTTAACGAAACCTTCGATTTTATTTAATGAGAAAAAAATTTATGAAAGAAAACTTAATAATTACAGACAATTATATACAAATGAATAGGTATCAAAATTTGAGATTAATCTACTTCACCGCAAAATTATTTTTTTTTCTAACGGATCGAATCATTTAATAAAAAAAACCTTTACCTATTCAGTTCAATTGTGATCCAGAGGTACGCTAGGGCTTTTCGCAGCTAATGATATTTTAACGAGTAAGGATGTGCCAAACCATTGCACTCAAACCTAGACCTGCAATTTATAGTAGAATCTGAACCACTTTCTTTGATAACATTTCTGTCTGTAGCCTACAAAGGAAGGCTGTGAGCCTCATTTCCAGTACATATTATTCGAAAAAGGACAAGTGAAAAATTTCCCATAGCCAATCTTGAACCCATGATCGCTTATCGTATTGCAATAATTAGGTACCGAAGTACTAAACCATTCCTGATTCATCATTCAATCATTTGATAACGAAGTGTATATTCAGCCATAGAGTTTTGACGATCAAAATTCAATAAAGTAACTGTCACCAACATTATATTGACTATGAATTAAAATCTATCATTAGTAAATAGCATTCGAAAAATAACTTCAAATTTTTCTATTTAATTTTTTGAGCAAAAATGAAAAACTTTATAGAAAGCTACCTGTTTTAAAATTTTTTTTTGAATTTTTTATGTAATACACGAAAGCATGTTCCACAGTTCTTCGTTTAAACAACACTCTCATAAATAATAAAACAATCAATCTTCCATTTAGCAAAAAAAAATCAAAATTGATTAACGGCTTTTGAATTTTTAAATAAAAACATTGCAATGTGTCTTGGCTAAAAATTGAAAAATAAGGCAATCGACACTATTATGAAACAAAATCCTTTTCTATTTTCCTCTCATAATACATATGACGAGTTTTATTTTTTTTGTGCGAAAAATTTTAAAAATTTGAATAAAAAAATATTTAAAGATGATTCAGACTTTGAAAATCAAAGCTAAGAATTTGAAATATTTTAATTTGAGACTTTTTTTGCATTCAAATTCTCTCATCATTTATTTGTAGATTTTTTAGTCACATATAATTAAAATTTATCAAGCATTTTTCTTCTTCGTCGTTTCATGTACACATGTTTCTCATCATGAATTTTACAGCAAATTCAATTGAATGCATAAACTGAGAAATGAGCAAGCTAATCAAACAATGAAAATATTTTTACGGATTTTTACCATTACTTTATTTATTTACTTAAGGTCATGTGTCATTGTCGTTTGAAATTTTGCTACTTCGTTCATCCTTTTATTATGCCTGATTGCTATGTGACGCGTGTTTAACAAAGAATGAATGAATGAAAATAATTTTTTCAAATGACTAAATGAGAATTTAATAAAATCTGGATTAAAGCTAATCAAATTCCTTTTTATGAGTAAATGATATTAGCATTATTCGATGTTAGCTTAATATTTATTATTTGTCTAAATTTTGTATTCCTCAAGGGTAAGTCAATGAATTTGAATTTTTATAGAATACAGTAGACATTTCTGAAAACACTAACCCAAAATCAATATATGGTCATTTATTAGAATCATCATGAGAATCAAGCATTTCCAAAATAAAATAAACCCCTTTTAAATGCACCCTAAAAAGTAATAATATTGTAATATGTATAGAAATTTGTTGACAAAATACGAAAAAACAAGAAACGGAGATGATTTGTGATTGAAATTTAATATAAAAATATTTCCACCTAGTTGAACTAGATAAATATTTACTCAAAATATTTCAATAAAAATAGTAATGTAAATAAAAAATCAATAATCGATAGATATATTCAAGATTTACAGTTTATAATTCGAGACATGAGATCAAGATTAGAATGATTTTACAATTAGATTAATATTAAATGTTCACACTCATTCAATGAAATGATTTTTACGAATCAATTTTAGCAATATGATTAGAAAAATTTTATTATTTGAATAAATTTGAGAAATTTTGACATGTCATTTAAAGTTTATCAAACATAATTTCTCTAACCTTTAGGTTTCAGATGAAAAAGTATTAATAGACCATCATCATTATGGTATACAACAAACTATTCTATACACATCATTTTCAGCCACAGCAAAGTCAAAATTCCCCTTTATAATAAAACTTTAAGATATAAGAGCTCTCTTGTGTTTATGAACGCTCACGTCACTTTAAATAATTTTGTTTAGACAGAATATTTTATACCCCCCGTATTTCAAATTTAGTTTAGTGTGAAAAGAAAAACTTTTTATTGAGATATTTACTTCGTGTTCTCCATATATACTCGTATACAATTTTCACTGATTCTCAAATGACACCTAAAATACATATTTCATTACTAAAATCGTATGCTCATTTATTGCATTCAAATTTATTTACTATCGATTTATGAATTGAATTGTATAAACCCAGAATAAACAGTAATTTTGATCGGAAATGAGAATTGAAAATGTTCTCATTTTTAATATTACTAAATTTCTACTGCAATTGGAGAACTTGTATCATTTTAAATAGCAAGAGTTTTTTTTTATCACCTCCATAATTTTTCATGATTTCACATATAACCTCATAAAAGTCAGTTTTAATTAATACTTTTTGGCTGAATTCAAGGTACTTTTATTAAATAATGTCCAAATAAAAAAATATTATAAATAAAATTTTTGCATATCAAATTATCTAGAATTAAGAAGTTACTTTTATTTATATATATTTGCATTCCGATCCATATTATAATGTTCATGGTATCACATTTATATTACATTTTACTGTGTGTAGACTACGAAAAATTCCGTTGCCCCAAAAAATATTAAAATTGTTTCTTAACATATCTTCTTCAAAGTATATTTTCTCACATATTTTTTTTTTCCTTTTTGCCAAAAATTTTTCACACACAGCTATCACACATATATAAATTTTGTTGAAGCTATAGATTGTGATTGAAATTTTGTAGATTTCTCAAGCAGGGAATAAAAAAAATTGTTGCGTTGCCTATCGCCAAGTGATCATTTTTTTTATTTTTAGATTGAATTTAAAAAATCTTTTTCCTTTTTACAGTGTCGTTCTTATAGACAGTGAAAAAGATCAAGCCATACTATCTTCCTATTAATGAAAAAGCGAACTAAAACTATTTAATGGATGACTTAAAATAAAATTCATTTTTTTTTATTTTTAAGATGTAATGATGAGCTCATTCACTTAATATTTCCGAATTTTAAAGCATTGAAAAATGCATTTAAACATAAAACATTAAAAAGATGCAAATATGAGTTCTCTAAGAAAGCCATAATTAGTCAATCGCTAAAATAAAGCACCACAAAAGAAATAGTATGTTGGTGAAGAAAATGATGAAAAAGTAAAACGACAAAAGTTCATTGGATCACTCAAAAATATTTTAAGGAAATTCCCAAACATTCATTAAATAAGTGAGCAGCCCCCACAGATTTGCATGCGGTCGCTTAGCAATTATTAAATGATTCATTGGCGAGCAACGATGTTTTATTTCATCATTCCAGTTTCCTTAAACAAAAATTTTCTTTTCACATTCATGGCGCTTTAGCGAATAAGTTTGTGTGCACGGCAATTGAGTCTCAATATCATGTCGGTGGTTTTAACGATTACCGATCTAGAAATGTTTTTTTTTTTATTTTGTGTAATTTAGTGAACTATTACTTTACTACACGCCTGTTCCGATTCGAATAAAATTCAACATATTTTGTGCAAGATCAGCTGGAAAGGAATATTAAGATGTTAAAAATGAAAATTTTCTTAAAATTTTTGAGTCTGTTTTTTGAGAAAATGTTTACAGCTATAGAAATATGAGAAATAAAGGCGAACAATTTTGCATATCCATAAAAGGCATCATTCTCAATAGACAAACGAAAAAAATAACGATCTTATGGCTTAGGGTTGCACATTTGCTGGATATGTCGTTGCATATGGAACGATAATTCAGTCATGTAAACATGTGTCATGTTCTTATTCTTTTTCACTTTTACTTTCAGATTCTGTTTTCCAATGAAGAAACTATTATTTTATGCATGCATTAGCAATTACGAATTAATTTTTTGTTTGTTCATTTAAGTAACTCTACGATTTTAAAATTTATTTTTTTTTAAAAAAATTGAAATTAATTGCAAAAATAGATCATTATTTATAATAATATTTCTCTGCTTTGTTTTGTTCATTGTGATGAAATGTTTTAAGTTTGCACCACACATCGTGACGAAAAGAAAATTAATGTGTTCTAATAAAAATGATTTATCTATATCACTCATTCGTCTTCAATTGCATCACTTAAAGTAATTCATTGCAATGTAAAAGATTTTCTTGACTATTTAAGGGAAATTTCTATCACTTGCTTTTACGAAAAAGAAAAAAAATAAATTTATCGTCATTGATTGAGGCCGAATGATTCTCGAGCTCTAAAAATATTTAGCGGGAATTTTCTTCATATTTGTTTCTTTGTATTTGTAACTCAATTATGATGTAAGAATCGTTCGGTAATTACTTCGGATATCTGGATCACTTTCAAGAATTTTTCATTTTTCTCATAATCTAAAAAGAATTGATAAAACAAATTATTTAAAAATATATTTTTTGGAATTTTTGCTTGATGTGATATTTATTCCTGCAATATACTTTCGTGATGTTAATACATGAAACTTTATAGTTTAGAAAGAAGTTATTGATCCATCAAATATCAAAATTAAGATACTCTCTAATTATCAATTACAAACACATTTTTGCATTAGTTCCATTTGTATTGATGATTTTTTATTGTGTTTATTCAAAAATTGTTTCATTGTATATTGCAGCAGCAGCAGCAAACAATATATTTTTATCAACATATGTTCCTTAAAAATTACCAACCAACTCATTTGAAACAATTTTACTTTCATTAAAAATTTTTTGACTCATACATTAAATATCATTACACATTCATAAATCCATACACGAAAAGGTGCCCTCAAGTTCCATTTCTCATGATCATAATGTTACGGGGAGGTATTTCTTTCACAAGCTAGACAGCAATGACTCTTTTTGTCGTGTTCCCATATACGGTGACGGGCAGAAATGTGTGTTCTATTTTTATCAAAGCGACTTTATGAATATATGAGTAAATATAAGTAAAATCTACTGATTTTGGTGCTACTGCTTGCTGGTGTTTCCACATGTGTTTTCTTGTTAGTAGTTTTCTTTTCTGTAGTTGTTTTAAAATCCGAAATGAAAAAAAAAACTTTTTGAATATTTTTTAAATTAGTATGGGGTGAAACTGTGTATCTACTTATAAATTTATGATATTTTTGTGAATCTGTGTTTGAATGTGGATCTTCATTCGGCAGTTAACAGAGAAGGTATATAAGTATCCTGCACACCCATTGATCCGAGACAGTTCCAAGTTTTGATTTTGTGGTGTGCAGACGGTCTAATCTGAAAATCTATTCAAAATGTGTGACGACGATGTTGCTGCTTTAGTTGTTGACAATGGTGCGTTTTTAATTATTCACAACTTTTTTATCATCTAAACGAAAAATGGATTAAAAAGTGAATTGATAAAAAACTGCATTTTTTTATAAAGTGAAACATAAAAAAAATTATAAGGAAGTTTTAAAGAACTAGATGGAAATTTAACAAATTAAAGATTATCATTACGAAATCTTTTTTAAGTGAATTAATAAATTAAAGGAATTAATTAGAAATGCAGATAACTTTAAAATTAATACAGTTCAAAAAAACCAATAATTATTTTAATTTTATAAGTGAAAAGATAATTCAGAGAATTTATTGTTAAAATTAATGAATCATGTTTAGAAGAAAGAAGATTCCTTTGAAGATAGTTCAATGTCAGTCAATATTTATGTTAGCAGCAAATTTTTGAAAATTTTAATTCTGCTGGATGATTTCTAAATTATTAATCCTGATGAAAGAACATTTAATAAACAGTTTACATTACTTCGAAATCAATTCACTTCTGTAAAGTAATATTTTTGTAAGGAAAAACTAATGGAATTTTACTCTCGTTATTATGAAAAACAGGCTCAGGTATGTGCAAGGCCGGTTTTGCCGGAGATGATGCACCACGTGCCGTCTTTCCATCAATTGTTGGACGCCCACGTCATCAAGGTGTCATGGTTGGTATGGGACAAAAAGACTCATATGTTGGAGATGAAGCCCAAAGCAAGAGAGGTATCCTCACTTTGAAGTACCCAATTGAACACGGTATCATCACAAACTGGGATGATATGGAAAAGATCTGGCATCACACTTTCTACAATGAACTCCGTGTTGCCCCAGAAGAACATCCAGTTCTCCTCACAGAAGCTCCATTGAACCCAAAAGCTAACCGCGAGAAGATGACACAAATCATGTTTGAAACATTCAACTCACCAGCCATGTATGTTGCCATCCAAGCTGTTCTCTCATTGTACGCTTCAGGTCGTACCACCGGTATTGTCTTGGACTCCGGTGATGGTGTTTCACACACTGTTCCAATCTATGAAGGTTATGCTCTCCCACACGCCATCCTCCGTCTTGACTTGGCTGGTCGTGACTTGACTGATTACTTGATGAAGATCTTGACTGAACGTGGTTACTCATTCACAACCACAGCTGAACGTGAAATTGTTCGTGATATCAAGGAAAAATTGTGCTATGTTGCATTGGACTTCGAACAAGAAATGGCTACCGCTGCTGCCTCAACATCACTCGAAAAGTCATATGAATTACCTGATGGACAAGTCATCACCATCGGTAATGAACGTTTCCGTTGCCCAGAAGCTCTCTTCCAACCATCATTCTTGGGAATGGAATCATGCGGTATTCACGAAACAGTTTACAACTCAATCATGAAGTGCGATGTTGATATCCGTAAGGACTTGTATGCCAACACAGTCATGTCAGGAGGTACCACAATGTACCCAGGTATTGCTGATCGTATGCAAAAGGAAATCACTGCCTTGGCTCCATCAACCATCAAGATCAAGATCATTGCCCCACCAGAACGTAAATACTCTGTCTGGATCGGAGGTTCAATCTTGGCTTCACTCTCAACCTTCCAACAGATGTGGATCTCAAAGGAAGAATACGACGAATCAGGCCCAGGCATTGTCCACAGAAAATGCTTCTAAACTGTTTAACAACAACCAAGTTTTCTCTCTCGCAAAATTCAACTTTTTATTATTATGTAATTATTATTATTGCTATTACAATTATCCATCTTTCATATCTTCACTTATCATAATGTAATAATAAATGAAAAGATAAAATCAATTCAAAAAGTTGTATGGTAAATATCAGCATATATATGTACAAAAGCCCTAGAAAAATTCAACATCAATAGCTCTTTAATTGATAAATTATTAATTTTATTTTGCCTCTTAAAAAAAACTTTCTACTCATTGTTATGAATGAACTTAGAAACGACCAAAAATGTGCAAAATTAAGATCTACTGATCATACCCTTTCATCTGTTTTCACAACTTAACATCATATAAGAGAAAGAAAAAGCCAAGAACAAATTCGTGTGCGAAAATTGAATAGTTCTATATTTTTATAAATAATTTTGCGTGAATATTCTTTTGACAAAAAAGTATCAACATCTGCAAACAATAATAATTAAATGAACAACACACTACCAACTAAGAAACCAAAATGTATGAAAAATTACAACAACAACGAAGGACAAATTTTATAAGATTAAGTGCAATTTTGTCTTATTTTGTTATGTATAAATTAATTTATATAAAAAAGTAAATAAATATTCTTCTTTAATAAATGGCGCAAGAGATTTCTTTCAATACCATATTTTTTTTTCATGCTTTACAAAATGCTAGAATTTTTTTTTCAGAAACATGAAAAGACACGCGTCTTTTTTATTTATAGTAACATTTTGAAGCTCCGAAAATATTGTAATTTGTATTTCACGACTGAAGAGAATTTTCATCCACACACATTCATATTTGTGTGTGCTATATTTATGAAGAAAAAAGTCTGAGAGAGAAACGATAAAACATATTAAAACATAATGCATGACCATATAAGGAGATCGATCTGGTGGAGAAAAATAAATATTCGTCTCCTGCAGTTTAGTCTTCTACTCTTTGGGGGATTATTTAAGTGATACTTGTAGTACTTTCATGCAGCAAAGATGGTACAAGACTACTTTTCGGCTTCATGATTCAAAATGAGTCATTGTATTAAATAGAATTATTAATCACAATCAGTTGAAGTAACAAAATTCAATATTGCTTAAAATAATGGGATTACACCTCGAAAGTTTTTAAATATAGAAAATAAAACACATGCTGTATGAATGTTGCTAAATGTAGTCCACTAACCGATATTGGCACATTCACAAAGAAAGACCTTCAATAACTTTCCATTTTCTTTTGACATCGAATACTATTTATTTATCTATTCTTTTTTAAAAATATTAGAAGCAACAACAATCTGTTTGATCGCGAACAAAAAGAAAATTGCTCAGACATACATTTTTGTAAAATGAAAAATCATGAATGAATTTTTTCTATACTTTATAAAAGAAAGAATCGTTTGGAAGTGTGCCAACGAAAATTGTAAACTGATGGGATAATGAGAACGATTCGCTTGAAAGTGCTCTTCTACATTTTTTAAGTCTGACGAAATCAGTTAATAGAAATTTCCATCAGATCATAAATTACCAAAAATTTCATGTAATTTATCAAAAACTGCCTACCTATTTTTTAAATAAGTTTTAGATATGAGAGCATGATTTCAAAGTCTTTCGGGGAGTACACTGGCCTAAGTTCGTGTTTGGAGCTTACAACTTTTTTTCAATTTATCAACACTCTTTTAATTTTCGAGATATCTAAGGTCAATTTATGTGGAAAACAGTCAAATGTATTTTACGTTGCTTCCTGCATTTGTGTTGTGATTGTGAGTTGGAGAACAGACATTATACAGTGTGAATTTGAATATGTTTGAGGTATAGTTGTTTTATTTTCAAAGGTATTACTTAAGCTATTATTCTGATGACAAGCATTTTGAAGAGATTTAAATTAATGACTTTTCAAGATAATTTGCGAACACACGCGCTAATAAATTTTCATTTGTTAAAGAACTGTTCTTAACTATAACATGGCATGTGTTCAACAACACTTTAGGATTCAATTATTTACTGTCATTTTGATCGACCAAAAATAAAATGAGTTTCAAGTTTGAGAATTTTAATGATCTAAAGCTTACTTTTTAAATAATAATGTCGATAGTTTTAATTTGTCGGTTTGGCTTTTTTGCTCTTAATTTGAATATTAATTCTTTGCCGACAACGCATATTTTTCTGTAAACATGTAAAATTGAAAAATGCACTCACTTCATTTAAGACATTGTTTCTAGTTTCCCATTTAAAATTCATTTGCACTTACAATTATTTTTTAATGATTTTATGGTTTAAAATTGATGCTTATAATAAATGCTTGAGTATAACAGAAAAGAAAATAATTTCATTATTGTTATGGTGACAAACCACAAGCATAGAAAATCAATGGTGACAAAATCAGAGCATTTTTTGCGGTATCCCTTTTATTGTATTGTTATCATTCTTGTGAACCTCTCAAGTACTTCTTTACTTTTAATGTTTCCTTTTTAAGAAGCAACAAAAGCAATATAAACCTAATGTATGATGTGTGGGACGTAAAAATAGAAAAAATGAACATTAAGATGTGAAAAATATTTTTACCTCATGTATGTGTATGTGTATGAGATTTTATTCCATACAAAAGAGAAAATCCCTTCTTCATTCCCTTTCATATTAGTATATTAATGTGTTATTATTTGACGTTAAGTAGCATTAAATATTTCAAACATTACTACAGAACTGCAATGAGGATAAAGATTGAAATAAACCAATATCTATATATCCCCTTACTCCGATCCTTTTATTTTCACCACTTGAACGTTTATATTCAATACAATAGGCGGCAAATTTCAACAACTCAATTTATTCGCTTGATTTGCCTCAATTTGCCTTATATTACTCATTCAGTAGAATATATTGTAGTACAAATATTTCCATTCTCAATTTTCTTCGTCTCATGCAGGTATTAAATGAATTTTGCATAAAAGATTGAAAGGTGTCGGAAAATATTTTAATGATAGTTAATGAGATCATGTTTACTTTCTAATTTTCACTTCAATCCTCTTTCGCACTTTGAAGAAGGAAATAACTAATTTTGAAAATGCAAGAATAGTTTATATGCCTCAATGAATCAAATGAAATCCAAGGAGGATTACAACTTATTGAAATCTGAAAGAAACATCATTTCAATGAGAGACATCAACGACAATCGAGGTTTACAATGCGTTAGGGGCAAATGTATACAAATAAAAAAATTAATTGTAGACTATAATAGCTATAGTATAAAAAATTAAATTTCATTTTGGCCTCATGCTGTTAGTGCTACTTAAAAGCATTGAAAAATACTAGTAAAGTAAAAAAAGTTTGTGGCCATTATTTATATCATTTAGAAATTAATTTATATCAAACATTTTCTGCTTTGACTATCATCTTCTTTTGCATTAATTAATTGATTTAATTCACTAATCCTTCCCTGAAGCTGATTGTTAAATTGTGTTGATGTTTAACAGCGTTTAATATTTTGAGACATTTTGAGGCAAAAAAAAAACCGTAATAATAAAAGTTTAAAGATCATTTAGATCTAATGTTGCATTCATTTTGTTGATGCATTGACATCCAAAATGACTTGTTTGTTATGTTTTTCGAACGATTGATTTATGCAACTTTGTACAATTATATGACTCAGGGTATATTAATGCAAAGGACCTAGCAACAATTTTCTGCAAATCACACAAACCGAGTTGTCATGACTAGAACAGCGAAAAAGCTCCTAAATCTGATTAGACATTCCATGGGATCGCACCAGGGTCATTGAGGTAAGTTGGCCAACACTCTAACAACTACGTTTCAGTACAAAATAAGAATTTAATAAAAAGTTGAAGCTAAATATGAAGGTAAGAACATTACATTGAAAAAGACAAATAAAAACGTTGGAACTCTTAAAAGCAACGGACTAAAAACCTTCTCTCCGATCCCTAGACATTGTAGCGTTAAGCTGTACATTCAGCAGAAATGTTCTATCCATGTTTTCTTAAAGATATCCTTTAACTTCCGTTAATTCATAAGTAATTTTGAAAATAACACTTTTTTCTCACAAGTAATTCAAACAATTGACTTCGAAATAAAGTTAAAAGGAAATTGTTCACCCTTTTTCGTTCATTTTTTGAAAAATAAACTATCCAACCCCCTCAATTGCAATTTTCATCTCAATCAATTCATATTCACATGCCAAACATTTCAATTTTATTTCAATAAAAATGAAGTACCAAAAAAAAGAGAAAGAGTAATAAATGCATAAAACATTCACGCGTAGTCGTTTATGAAGAAAGGTCTACTCATAAATTGAAAATTAATTGCAAACACAATGGATTTTTTTTATTCTACGCTATATTTCCTTTACTGACACCAATCATTCTGTGATTTTTTTATCTCAAATTTTTTTTTTTTTTGAATATAACCTTTTTATAAAAGTGCAGGGAGGTGAAAAGAATTTGATTGTTAACATCTCAATGGTTTTCACATGGTTTTGCACGTTTTAATATAGAACTATTTATTAAAAAAATTGTAATAGAAAAATTATGACAATATTTCCCACAAATTTAATAATTTAAAATCAACACGTTTTCATTATTATCGTTTTTTTTCGAACATCTTTATCAAGACCTTGTGAACAATTTGATCACATTTTTTAAACCTAAATGCTGAAAAACAGCTAAAATTTATTAAAAATCTATAAATTCAATAAAAGTTACCGACAAAATAATCCATTAGTTTTATACCGTTTTCTATTGTACATCTCCTGGAAGGCATTCTAAAGTAAAGAGAAAAGTAGCATTATAAGCATTTTTTTCTATAAATATAACATTAACTGCCATTAAATGTGGACATCCTATGATTAAAATCTTAAGATTCTCGTTTACACTTTCATGATTATTTACAATGTAACATTCGGTAATAATAAGCCAAATGTCAATTGATCGAATGGCCATAATTGTATATTTTTTTCATAAATTCCCTCTCAAGTGTTTCCTTTCATTTTCAACAAAGATATTTTATTTTCAAATAAAAGTTGTCAAAGTACAAAAGGTATCACGAACACAATTTATTGTATTGTGTTGCAAAATTAAGGAAGAGGGCGGTTACGTATAAAAACTTAATTTACTATGTAGGTAAAGAAATTAAGGGAAATTTCAAAAGAAATCGACATGCAAACAAGCCAATTTAAAATATTTCTCTTTTCTATTTAGTAGAAATCCATTCTTTATGCGCAAAAAATTTGATACTGTTGTTGATATACGTCTCTCTTACACCGATTTATATTGTTTGTCACAAATTGCTTGAAATCATTTCCAAGATTATAATTATAACGAGTAAGTCTAAAGGAAAAATACTCTAAAAGGAAACGCAATTTTACTGTTGTCTAATTTAGCGAAAAATTACATGTTTCATGTTCATTCAATCTTTGTTCTTTTATTTTTCTCATAGAAATTTTGTGGTCTTTGGGGATTGTCCTTTTTAAGTGAATGTCTTTGAAACAGGATCAAATTTCTTTAAAAATAATTTCTGGTAAGTATAAGACAAAAAATTGACCTCTATAAGAGAAAAAAATTTTTCTTGAAACATATATCCTTAAAAGAGGCCCCAAGTATTTTTAACCCCTCGTCGAACCAACCAATATCATAAACAAAATCAATTGAGTAAAAAAGTAATAAACACAATGTGCACTTTATCTACCAATGTAAATTTTCCTTATCACTTTTGGTTAATCAATAAAATTATTTAAAGATTAAATCGTGATTGATTAATGTTTATTAATTGTTTTTACACGTTGTTTTAATATGCCCTGTTACAAAACACATCTGTATTTACTTTAATGTATATATTTCATGATAATATTCTGTTATATCGAATATTATTAATAATTGGTATTTACTGGTGTTTTCTCAATAATTAATGCAAATAAATGTCAGTAGAACACAACAAAAATCATCAGACAAAAGTATTTACTTGCTAAAAATCCCAAATTAAACATTATATGCTGGTTTGAAAATATTGTTTCTAAATGCAATAATAAATCTACTCACCAACTAATTTCAAATAACAAATGTCGGTGGTTATAATGCCGAAATTATTATCATTCTACTTCGATAAACTTAAATTTTATTATCTTATCAGAATTCACATTGAACATAAGCTTTTTATATTAATAATTATGAAAACGAATGTTTTCAATTAATTCACACAGAAATCAATTATTTCGTTATTTAACATGTATGTAAATATATTATATCCTCATAAAGTATTCATACGAACACATTGTGTAAATCATAACGATAATAGAACCAGATGTCAAATAAATTTAAATCAGTGATAAGCGTCCTATATAGAGTTAATAAAGATTATTTTAATTTATAACAAAAAAACGTAGACACTTCTTTTCCTTTAAAAAACTTTTATTCAGCGAAAATAAATGAAAATTTAAAATGTCTTGTAGCTACAGGCATTTTAACTCTTTTTCTTCACAAAAAGCTACTCAATAAAATCTCTTGTTAACGTAAAATTGAATAAATGTTGACACTTGAAGGAATAACAAAATAAAAATCTCATATTGTTGAAAATTTAAAAGTTTTATTGCAATTGATGATACTTGAAAGTACATAATATAAAATAGCATGCTGATTTCGATTATTTTGACTGGTAGATTTTTATTCATTAAAAATGGATTATCATGAATGATTCTTTTGCTATAAATTGAGAATCATTTAGCAATTTTGAAAAACCAACAGTAATAACTTTTGAGCACGTTACAACAAAAAAAAAAAGGATTTTTCTGCAGTAAATGTCAGAACTTGAGATTTAAATTGTAAATTTTTCTGAAAATAAAGCATTAATTATGATTTAAAAGAGATAAAAATTTCCTGATATTTTATATATTTTTATTAAGTTTACTTTTGAATAAATCTTGATCTCATCTTTAATTTATTTTTTTCTTAATTTCTTTTCAAAATTATCGTCTACTAAGTATATTTAATTCTTGATTGAATTAAGTTTTTAATTTGAAATTATTTACAGAATTTTTGCATTTTAAATTATAAAAAAAATAATAAATTAAACAATCACTAGATTTCATAATCATAATTTACTATTTTGGAAGTTTATAATATTGGTTTTTATAATTAATAATAACATTATCTGAGATGAGGCTATGAGTCGTATCTATCTAAATTAATCATTTTAATATTTTTGTATAATTACTTTTTTGTTCTGTCCAAAAAGAAGCTCAATTTATGGCGGGTAATGTAAAAATTTAAATTGTAAGTTAATTCTTATGATTAAATATCTCAGAAATGTTTTACTTATCATAATAAATTCGATGTCACATACATTTTTAAGATGATTATTGTTTAATTTTTATATTTTACTTTTCAATTTCTTTTGTAGGACTTTCTACAGGACTATTTTGAGATGGACTGCTTGATCTTGTTGTTGTAGATGTATTGATTGATAAGTTTTGCGGCGATGTTGCAAAATTATTATTACTACCGGCACGGTCACCATTAAATAAACTATTAAGTCCCATATATTGCATTATAGCATGAATATTTGGAATTTTGTAATTTGGTATTAAGTTTGGATGAAGCATATGGTTTGCAGTTGGTATAAGTGTAGGGTGAATACCGAATCCTGGAGTCCAAAAATCTGCCGGATGCGCCAAATTGTGAGGAAGTGGAATTCCCATGGAAAAATCAGGCATACCTGCAAAAAGAGGAAATTTAATGAAATTCATTTCATGCAATCAGCAATTAATGGGAATTATGTTCATTAAAATTGCACTACTGATATTATCAATTAAACTCATTATGCATTGCATAATTTATAAATGAAACTGTCAATTGCTCATTTTTAAACTGATTAAATATTTCTGATAATAGTCTTTTCCATTATGAAATATTAATTGGCTTTTAATTTATTTTTGCAACAATATGTTTAAAAGAATATTTTACCTTGTTCATGATGTAAAAATGTAGTTGTGTCACGTCCCATTGCCTTTTCTCTTTTTCGCCACTTCGCTCGACGATTTTGAAACCAAACCTGTAAGCATAAAATAAAAAAAGGACATTAGTTTGGGGGTAATAATAAGCAAAAGGAAGTAAGTTATAGATTAAAATGATGCGATAATGTCATCACGAGGTGTTTATTACCAGCGATCATTAAATTTGTACATGTAATTTTATAGGGACATATGATAATAATCTTCATATACTAGTTTTTTTTTATTTCCTTTTTATTTTTGTTTTCATTGGGAGTTTTGAATTTTTAATAATATTAAAACTTCTAAAACAGGAAAATGTTCATCATCATCATCATCATAGGTTCATATTGTAAAGGGTGTAAAAATAGAATCATTTATGTGAATATTACATAAAATCACATTCAATTAAACTTCAATGGATATGAAAACAGAAACATAATAACAAATGTATTTTTTTTTCAATTTTAACAAAGAAAATCTTTTGCAATGGTAGGAAATTGATCGAAGGGCTTCGTTGATTTTTCTCTATCCATGATACAATTGAATCCAATCGGAAGTAAATATTATGAGGTGCCTATCTAAAGTCCTTGCATCATTCTTTCATACATTTCAATCTCATCTATTCTATCAATAGACTAAAAATTTTCTGCATGATAATTGACAACAATAGATGAAGCAAAATTTTCAACCATACATCATCATCAATTGTTATCAAATCAATTTGCAGGAAAATCCGCAAGAGATAAATTTGTCTCTTCCAATTGTACATAAAAGATAAAATTTTCCCATTTTCTGCAAACTTGTAATCTTTTCAATCACTTCGCATGTATATATTTGAAAGAGCATGAAAAATTGAAATCCAATTAAACTAATTGTAGCAATTACTTAAAATTCTTCGTATTACAATGTGAAAGCTGTACATTTTGTTATGTGAACGAATGAATGAATCTCGGAAAAAGGATAAATTGAATTGATGATTTGGTATTATTATATGATTTTGGTCGCGTGTACTTATGAATCAGACTAATAATGATTCATTTAGTTGTAAATTTTTAGGGACACGTTGTTATCTCAATCTCATTATTGAATTTTGTTTTATATATCGTCATTTTTAAAAGAATTTTGAAATCCGTTTAGAAATAACATTACTTTTGCATAACTTATCCTCCACGAATGTGTTCAGTTGATGACAGAGTGAGAAGAATTTATCTCAAAAATACTTGAAAACTAATTGTAGCTACTCATTTGATAAGGTTTTTATAATTGCAATCCTACAATAGAGGAAATGAAAAATTTTGCTTCATTTATCCAAGAATGAAATAGGGTTGAAGAACTTAATTATATGGAGGATGTTGCATTGATTCATCTTAACGTTAATCGTGGTAAAACGTAATTTTTAACATGTTCATTTTATAGTGCCGTGCAATATAACCTAATAAAATATACAGACTAAGAGTAACTATAGCAATAAATCTATTGTAGCTCAAACAAATACATAAACATGACAATGGTAAATTAGTTTCAATAAAGCTATTAAAATTTAGCCTGTGTTATTTTCCCATACACAACTTCTTTTCAATCCCTTCATTCTAAAATATTTATTTCAACAAATTCATAGTAAATTTACCTCAAACAATTGAAAAACGAGAATTTAAATCTCATATTACATGCGACATGTATCATTAAGAGAGGAAAAAAATTAATTGACTTTATTATATCGGTATAACGGCAATTAATCCTGAAAATGTGTTTCAGCTTTGCACATTCAACAGAAATCATCTGTGTTCACCTTACATGTTTGTATTATGTAGCTACTGTTACCATCTAATGAGTCCACGTAATTGCATATATTTCGTTTCGGTAAAGGCATTATGAGTCGAAAAATACTAATTTTAATGAGATGCATTTCAACAGTTAATGAAATCCTATTGAAGTGCAATTGAATTTTTGTTAATATGCATGAAGAATGAATTTATATGATTGGGGTAATAACATTACCGTAATGCACAGTAGTAAAAATAATAAGAATAAAAGGAATGAAATTTTGATTCGGTTTATATATCAGAAATTTTTGACAACTCTACGAATTCTAAAAGATTAAAACTAAACTTCAAAATTAAAATGAAAATTTATTGCACATAATTTTTCAAATAAAACTTTCACAAATGTGTCGCATATATATTTTTTTCATGTCATGAAAATTTAAAGATAGAGGTAATTATGTACAATTTCGAGGAAAATGCTGAATTATAAAAAAAATAAATTTTTGAGTTGTTGGTAATTTTAACTCGTACATTTCGCAACTCATAATTATGAAAATTAATTTAATTTATGAATACATATGTGCGAAGAAGTAGAAAATATTATGAAGCCATTAAATGCTAATTATCATCAATTACGTAATGTATTTTCAAGATCTGTCTATATAAAGTCATCGGATATCCTTTTTTCTATATGAAATTACTCAAAACAATTGCCAATTTACTCGCTCACATGCTTCACTGAACAATAAAATAGAACAATAAAGGAGAGCATTTTCCTCTTCTTATTTTATCCCTTCCATTGTCATGCGTCAATTGGATTTTCGACAGTAAATAAAAATAATTATGTGTGTGAATTTTTCCCCCAGCAAAACGAAACTAAATTGATCCAAAAATGGCACCAATTATATTGTTGTAAAGGGTTCATTAAAATAATTATCCCAATCAAAATACTATCATCCACTCATAACAATAGGACAAATTTTTTCATAAATTTGATTATCTAAAAGGGATTTTCAGATTTCTATCTTTACAACATCTCTTTTAGTAACAATCAACTTGTAACTGTGTTTTTTTAAATCAATTTTGAAGCTTATTTTGTGCAAAAACTGACAAGAAGGGAATCTTTTCCCAAAATATCAATTCAGTCCGATGATGCTCATGTTCCGAATGTTTTCAAAAAGCAATTATTTTGGATTTATCAGATTGAAATAAAAAACAACCTATAGCACTTTATAACTGTATACTTTTGCTGAGAACGAAGATTGAAAAAATTTGATTTTTGCTGGTTTTTCCCTAAATAAAAGGATTCCCGTTAACTTTTTATATATTGACTCACATTACGAATTCAGATTGAGGGTGCTTCAATAACACATACATTGATAAATTTAAATAAAAAAAATAAGATAAAGTGAAACATATGATCTATACCTTTTATCATTCAAAAAAAAAGCATTCTTGAATTTGTTTACAGCAGTTCATAGAATATAAATTGGGATTAAATTGTGATGATAATGCTAATAGAATAAGGATGAAATTGGAAACATTTTGTTGATGGTATTCAAACATACCGAATTTACGAAGGGCTATTCTCAATTCAAGAGATCTTTTATATAGATTTTATTGTTCTCATAACAGTTAAAAAGGGCTCGAAAATCAGGAGACTACAATAGCAATGTCACACAATTTAAATGTACTTGCTCAATTGAGTTTATAAGTTTTTAATGAATTTAACATCAAAGCAAAGAACTATTAAAAACTTATCATTTAAATTACCAACAGTCTGCATATTTCATAGCACTCAAGTAAAACAAAAAGGGTAAAATTAATTTTGAAATATATTTTTTTAAAAAAAGTAGCTACAAAACATTTATTTGCACATATTTATCATAATCAATTAGCTTCAATTTATATAACTATTTCAAAAAAAATTGAACCTTTATTTCTCATTAACAAATAGGTATTATGTTTATGCACTTTTTGTGCCCATCGGCATTTTCGTGTCAACTTCATAACGACAAAATTAATTTGATAGGCTTTTTCACTAATGTATTATTAAAATTTTTAAATGAAACTTGTTATTCTCATTAAATAACATAAACTACACAAATTGCAATTCGTAAATGAATTATTTTGTTATTTTCCAAACGGTTTCATATTGTGATTGATATTGTTAAATAAATTAATAATATTTTACCAACCTGTACTCTAGCTTCACTAAGGTCTAATCGCATAGCTAACTCCTCACGTGTAAAAACACTGTAAATTTGAAGATTTTTAATCAGTTAAGAATACTGAAAACATTAAAAGTAATTCACACTTACTCTGGATATTGTGTTTTCTCAAATGCTCTTTCCAATTGATGAAGTTGATAAGTCGTAAATGTAGTTCTAGACCTAAGAACGATTCAAAATAATTCATTAAAATGTTATCAATATAACGTCAAAAATTTTTGTATACAATTACCTTCTTATTTTCCTAGGCCGCGACATATCATTAGAGTCATGATCTGTTGAATCAATATCCCCCATAACTGGCATATCATCATCATTGTCAACATCAACGCCCACATCATGACTGTCATTTGTATCGATTTTTAATGAGTTCTCATGATCTACACAATAAAAAATTAAGAGAGTAAGTAGGTGCTTCAAAGAAATAATTTTTAAATTATTATTTCTTATAATGCTGCTTTTTGACGTGAAAATATAACTCTTTGAGAAAAATCTCAAATCAATTATTGATTGACATAAAGGAAAAGGTATATCGAAAATCACTTCTTAATTGGTAATCACACCAAAATATCTTTTTTTTCAATATCTGAATTTCAATTTATTATTCATCACATAAAAAAATCCCCACAGATATCAAAAGATATTGAAACGAAATTGAATTCTTTTGATGTTTTATTTTTTATTATGCTCTCTCCTTCTCTCATATTGCTTCTGATGCTTTTTCACATTTTTTGCAACAAAAATATCATCAGTTAAAGCAAAATGAAAATGATATTTTAGCAAAAAAAAATAAATTTGGTTAAAATCAGAAAAGTATTAGAAACAGAATGAAAAAAAAATGAACGAGAACAACAAACAAATTTAACTTTTTTGAAAGACAATTTGAGAGTAATTTGCAAAAAGTGCTTAATAAACCTTATCTTCCTAGCACATTTTAATTACTTCTTTTAAATAATCAAACAAAAAATGCCTTAAACTGTTCATGAACACTTGAAGCATGTAAAAGAACCCGGATATTAATTTGAAAATTTGCAAAAGAATTAAAACAGATTGTAAATTGATACTTAATGCATAGCATTTATATGACATGGAAAAAAGGGTTTGTTTCATCACTTGTGTTTATGTATTTTAGTATAATAAAAATTTTATTATTAAATCTTTAGTTGGCAGCATGACATCAAGATATTTTGTAAAAAAAAATTTTTATAAAAAGTACTCAGCGGGATATTTCATTAAAACCAGGAAAATGAGGCTGAATAAAAAACTTTTTAATAATTTTATTTTTCGTGAAATATGAAATCATATTTATCTCGGTGCGATTGAGTTGATATTTTGTAGAAAACTACCCCTTTATCATTAACCAGAAATTACGCTCGTTTGCAACAATAGTTTACATTTGTTCGTTTAAAATAATTCATGTTTTCATACTAAATGATCATTTAAGAGGCTTGTATAAATACGTCATACTGTTCAATAATGCAAGGATGAATGTACATTTTAAATGTACAATATAATATCGAGAACATTAAATTTTTGATTTCATGGCTCAATTAATTTAAATTATATTGAAAGAACTTACCATTAATTGTATTTCTTCGATGATGATTATGATTTCCTAAAATTTGATCAATACTGTAAACTGCACGAGGTTTTGATATAGGACTATTTTGTGACGATGTCCGTAGACCTCGTTCAATATTTAATGCACTCATCATTATCATTTAGATTTATTTAATTATTCTGCACTTTTCTATCACAATTATTAAAAACTATCCTTCTATTCCGCTTGTTGTTTTTTTAATCACTTTTTAATCAAATTCTTGATTGACTTATTTTCTTTATAATGCTTCACTTTTGATATTTTAAAGCCACAATTTTTTTTAACAGGAGCAAAAAAGAAAGCACGTCACATCAGCTCTACAAACAGTTAACAACTGAATGTCATTACTCGAGAATTTTCAACATAAATATAAAACAAATTGGCATAAAACCACTGATATGTATGTGTACATACAAACATAATTCCATAGGGTAGTAATTTTTTCTTCATTCTCAACTTTATTGCACCTCACTTCATAATTTTACTCTTATTTACTCACACTCTCATATTTCTTCTATGACATTTTCATCCCTTCTTCTTTTCTATATTGTTCTATTTTGCATGTCTGCGCTTGTCAACAGTCCTCTCTTATACTCAGCAAAATATTAATACAATTTACATGCAAATTTTAATTCTCTCAATATCATCAAATTTTGATAATAATGATACCACAAAATACGATTTATTATAACTTTAAGTGCTTTTAATTCAATCACAATTCAGATCTGCTATTTTTATTCATTATTTATAATCAATGTAAATATTTCTGGTCCACATTATAATTGATATGCTCATAAACGAAATTAATTTAATGGAATAATAGTTATTGGAAGTCATATTAATTTTCATTGAAGTCAGTTTTCAAAAGAACAATTAATTCATTATTATCCTCCCTGGTAAAAATTTTATCATTTTATTGCTTTGCAGGTTGATTATTATGAATGAATCTTCCAAGTACAAAAAAGCATTCTAAACCAAGAAATTAATTCTGTTGTTTCATATCCTTTTTTTCTATTCATTTGACTTGAGAGAGCAATAAAATTTTATTATAGGCAAATTGCAATTAATGACATTCAGGTAAAAAAAAAATTTAATTTTAAATCGAACCTTTGTAGTTCATTCATTTTTCTTTTATGCATTGAAAAAACAAAAAAAAATGACCTAAGTATTTTAAAAACCTTTATCCTTGTAATTATTGTAAATTTTCATATATATCTCTATCCTTACAGGATTCATTTGGACTATGTTATTTATAAATATTGTAAACAAACCTTGAAAATCACGTCTATTAAAGTATTCTTAAAAGTGTCTTAGACATTGCTTAAAACGGAATTGTTTTGATAACAGAGAATTTTGCTACAAAAACATGCTCTAATTCCAGCACCAGAATTAGAGATAATCAGTTCATACTTAATTGAGCACCCAAAAAAACATGTTTCATTCACAAAAATGCCACACATCCTTCTTGCAGAAAATGATAATCTTTCTAATGAATTACGATCGTCTCATTTCTCTTTTCAGCTCCTCATTCCTTTTTGTTTTCTGTTCAACAAATAATAATACTAACAATTATCCATAGATTAAATCTATTTAACAACCAGCTTACTAAATGAAGGGAAATTTCTTGTGTTTTTAGAGAGGCGACGACTTTATTAGGATCAAAAAACTTTTAATTTTTAAATGAAGGAGAAACCAAGAATGAAAGGACTCTAAAAACAATGGAATGAACTCAAAAATATAAATTTAATTATTTTTTACAATTCTTGATGACTATCGATGATAAAACTAATATTAATTTACACTTGATAATATTCGACTTTCAACTATCACTGGCAATTGTAAAATCAAACTAAATTCTCACTTCTCAAAACGAATTTACCATGTATCGTGAGAGCATATCTAGTGATAAATAAGTATGTTATATTATTTGATCATGCGCATAACCTCCGTGTTCAGTGATTGGGTAAATAGACACTATTAAGTATAAATGGTTGCCAAGATGTTTCACTATAACATTGCTTCAACTTCCCCACAATAAAAATTCTCCTTCTCTCAATAAGTGATTCTGTTGCTGGATTATGGTACTGGCAACATTCATTGCTATATGTGTTGATTTATTTTTTCAACTCCGACACACATTAAACACACAAATTTAATATAATTTTCGGTAATGATAACACACATTATTTTATTGCTTGTTTACCATTGTTGTATTGGTATATATAAAAACGACTATAGCATGGCGCTTGATGATGATAATAAAGTGAAATGAATTTATTTCCTTAATGTTATATGAGTGTCACGTATTTTGTGGAATTAATTAAATTCGATATCACAGACGTGATGTGTACTTTGTTACTACTTTATTTCATCCCCCATTCCTATTGAAGAAAAAATACTTCATATCTAAACTAAGAGATTTGATAAAATCATCTTTTAAATCTGCAAACAAGAAAAAAATCAGGCAATCGTCGAGATGATGTCGAAAAGAATGATAATAAATCTGAATGATGTCCCACAAAAGCATTAATAAAAATATATTAATTTTTGATTTTGTTATTGTGTACAAACAAGATTGGCAAATTTGATGTTGTTGATGCTCAATATATTTTATGCCTGAAGCTTGTAAGAAGAATAAATTCTGTTTTTATTGAAGAAAATTTTATCTTTTCATAAAATCAAATGCATACAGAAAATAAATAATAATAAAATGAAACTTTTGGATACTGCTTGATCTGATTGAGGTAAACAGTGAAAGACCAATTTCATCGGAAAGATTACAGAGTATTCAATTGAACAAATTTGGGGGCGTTTAGTTTTTGCATGAAAGTGTGCGCTGATTTCAAAATTACTTTGAATATTTAATTTTGCAACAAAATATTTTTGCCGTTGTTTCACTTTCAAGATTTGAAAAGGATAAAGAAAAGAATATGTAATAGTATTACTTCTCAGATAAAAATAACAGAATATGTTTATCCTTTGTAAATTATGGATAATCTGTCGTCGTAAAGTACTTTTATGTTGCTCTCTTTTCGGTACTGGAGACTAAAATATGTAAGCTCTCTTTTTCAGCATATCGAATATCTATGTTGAAAGCAAATTTTTGACTGTTCACTTTGACCAACTGAACAAATGGTCATAAAATGCTTATAGATAAAATCCGTAAGTCTAAAGTTCAAAAAAATTAATTCTTGATTTTATTCAAAGTTAAATTCACCCAAATATCAAAACATCAGAACAATATAAAAACCTATGATTAGCGTTTTACAATTAAGAAAATGCGTTCTCACAAAATAAGAACTACACTTAAAGAAAAGTTAAGCCATTGAGCCATATTCATAGCACATACATGGATATTTCTTAAAGAAAATAAATGCGACTGTTTTTACTATGCTAAGCAAAATATTATGAAAAAATATTTACAAAATAAGAAATTGAAAACATTAGATCCAAATATTCATCCATTTTAAATATTCCTGATATATTAATTTCTAGGATGCACCAAATATTTAAAAAACTTTTGAAAGAATTTTATTACGACAATTAAACCAACTAGAAACTTATAATAGAATAAGTGTGTACTGATCCTAATTTATGTGAACAATCAAATATATCTTAATTCAAGTGGGACAATGAAATCAAATAATTCAAAAATTGAACAAAATTCTTTCAATACTCTCAAAAATGACAATAACATCTTTTTTAGATCGTATATAATCAGACATCATCATTTCCATTATTTATCATCATCAATTGAATTGAAAATTAATTTTCCGTTTTCATTCTCTTCATTTCCTTCAATTTATTCGATTTTTCGTTAAATAAAATTATATTCATGAATAACATAAAACACAATAGAGTGTTTCAGAATCGAAAAGAAAATTGAAATGACTAAGGAAAAGAAAATGAGAGTAAAACAAATAAAATTCAATTCATGGAAATTTAATAAAACTTGACGAGAATGAAATTTACATTTAAATTATATTAATTAAAATGTTATTTCCATCATCTGAAAACTTTTGAGTGTGAGAATGTAGACGAACAAAAGAGAATGAGATAACGGAGAAAAGAAGGACTTTGTTGTAAAACTTTATGCTAATTCTTTTATGCCAATAAAACTTGAGTTTGAGTTTTCTGACCCTTAGTTTTCTACTACATTAAAAAAAACCTTTTTTATAAATGTTCAAGCATTTTTGTAAATATATTTGTTCTCTTTGTATTATTATCTTAATGTTCTGAAGCTAATGAAAGATGGAGAATATTTTTTGATAATACATACATGTTCCCAAAAATTAAATTAATTCTTGCAGACTTAAAAGTCAATTATATTTTCCGAACTTTTATTATCAATATAATTTTATTTGATCAAGATAAAAGAAAATAATTAAAAGATAAGAAAGTTCTTGCAGTTATTTATCCGATCAAGATACATCCAAAGTCAAACATCGAAACCAATAAATATATTTAATGTCAGAGTTTTTCAATAATTATAGTTGAAAAAAAATGACATTTTAAATCCCTGAAAATTCGATGGTAAAAGTCATCCATAAAAATTGTTTTATTTCTTATCTAAATTGAAGCAGAAAATTTCTTTTAATCCTCATTTTATGAAATTCTCTCACCTTTTCTATTGAAATAATTCCTCACAAAAAGATACATTTTCATATTACTCGTCTCTTAAAAAAATTCCTTATTCATCAAATTTTTCCATTTATTGAATATTTTATTTGTAAAAGGCAAAAAGATTATGTTTGTTGAAAATATTAACTTGGAATTATTTGTTGAAATTTCATCATCTGAAAATGATTTCAATGGAAAGAACATCAAAATCATACATTTGGATTTATATTAAATTTTTCTCTTCATTCATTGCATGTTTAATATCATTCGTAAATGAAATATATCAAATATCATAAATGTGAACAATGAACCACAGCAATATAATTACAATTGGTATTTGAATCTTCATTTTATTTGCTTAACAATGATGTGTCTAAAACAATATCTAGTATGAACGTGAGATGACGAAAAAAAAATTATAGAAAAAATTTTAAACTATCTAATTTTCAATTAATTGCCAGTGGTACTCAAAAAGTATTTGTGTTATTTTTAGAATTTAAGCTAATGCTAATAGATCTCATAGAAAATTTCAGTTAAATTAACGACATGTCCCTATAAACTATGAGCGCTAATTTACTTGTTATTACAAAATCTGTAACTTTGAAAATATGTTCAGAACTGAAAAGCTCATTTAAAAACGGCATTAAAAATCTGCAACTTTTCATTATATTCTGTAATAAATTCTTGCAAGCTACAATTTAAAAAGTATTTAACATTATGAAAGTGGATTGTTGAAAAGGGATTTGCACTCAAAGATGAATGAATTGTTATAAGACTAGAGATGGGAAAATTAAAGTGAAATTGTTTAAAAGCATTTTGATTTTTATTTCAATGCCTTCTTATAAGAACTCTCTTTCTCTTTTATGCTTTGCTCAATTGAGATCAAACATTCTCTTTTGTAACAAAAAGGAAATTTTTCATATTCAATCTTTGGCTTTTGACGATTTTAACCTTCTTCTCAATATAAATACTTCCCCCTGTATCCCATTCTTTTATTATTCACATTCATCCTTCTCCTCATTCTTCCTTTTCCATCCATTCAATTCAATTCAATGAAAGTTCATTTAAACTCAATTTTCCTCGTTAATGCTCTGCTAATACGCCACTTTACAATTTTTATTTCACTCAATGTACAATATACTACAGCATGAGCTGGTATAAGCAAAAAAATTTCCCCTTCTTTTTGTAAAACTCTCTCACTCCTGATTCTCTGCTGAGAGTATAAAAAAGTAATAAAAACTCAATTGATTTCCAAATACTTACTGAAAAAATTGTTTTGCATTTAAAAAATTCGCTAATACCACTCGAGTGCTGAAAATAAAATCGCATAAGGAGTTAAAACCTCTGACAATGCGAATTAGTATTGTAATTGTTGTTGATTCCTTCACTTTGCCCTTTTCAATGCGTTTTCAAAATCATAATACACGATACAATTCTGTTCGATTTTTCCATTAAACCTAGAATGAGCCATTAATGTGTTCAATGAAAATGAAATGGCTATTGAGTTATAACTCAGAGCGATTTAAGAAAATATGCATCTAAAGATGTGATTGTTCATGATCAACCACATTCCAATGTTGTTTCCTTATTAAAAAGAATGTGATGTTTTTTGGCCAAGCATAGCATTAACGACATTGCATTTTCTGTAACAAGGCATGATGCAAAAGAGATAGTCAGATATCAGCAAAAACTTTTATGATTGGAAAATACTGAACGAAACATTATTTTACAAAAAGACTTATAAATGGAACCATTATTTTACTCTTTATTGCACTCTTAAAATGCACGTACACAATCACTAATTTCGCTTTCAAATGTCCTTTATTATTTCTTCTATTTTGTGTTGTGAATGTTTACAAAGTAGAAAATCAGGAACTTCTTTGTTTTTTATCTTTTGTAGCGCAGGAAATTCTACAAAATAGAATCGCTAAGCAAAATGTTGATCAAAAAAGGAAAATTAAAATGTTTCTTGCCATTTAACAGTTTTCCTTCCTTTTTCTTATTTAATACGAAAATTTCTATTTTTTAAGCAATTATCTTTCCAACAATTCTATTGAAAGAATATGTATACAAAATTGAATGAAATTAAAATATGTAACTAGCGCAAAAATTTTAAATGGTGTGTGCTCCAAGTTTTAAATTTTTTTGGTGAAAATTCATCATAAAAAAAAACTTTATTTATTTTGCATAATTTTATGCAGCTTGGTAAAAATTATTTCTGAAATGATTATTTCTTTGAGGTTAGAAAAAGTTTCGTTTGGCTTGGAACCAAACAGTTTGAGAATCACTGTGCTTTTAAAACTAGCTTGTTTAAACTTTTAAAAACTAAAGGAAAACTGACGATAAAAACAACAAGTACAAAAATGTGCAAAAAATCTACTTTCCGAATGTAGCGGTTTTAAAATTTCTTCCAAATAATTGATTCTCTTGAAATAGATACCAAGTCCTAAAGGCACTTTGTAATACCAAATAACATTTGAAAATTGAAGCCGTCGTCAATAAATTAATTTTAAGTAACATGTTCATGGAAGCAATAATTCACTTTTAACGCTTATGAAGAAACTGTAAAAGTAGGACAAGTGCAACTTGCATGTGCTGCTGCTACCTTAGGTAATGAATTTTTGCAGACCAACACGTTTATATTATTTTAATTTGATACTAAATGTCTAACCGGAATGGGTTGTAAGCGGTTAAGGTCGACTAGTTTTTTCTGCAGTTCAATGGAATTTTACCATCACCAAAGTCAATGATCTAGTTGAATCTCGGACATTAGAAACATTTAGATTTAGATATAAGCAAATAATTTGTGAATTTCCTTGATGCGAAGTCAAAAATTATTAACGCAAACTTTTTCTTTGCATTACAAAAAAAATGTATGGCTTAAAACTACCTTCAATGACTTCTCGCTTACTTTTCGCATTTCGAGTTTGCGTTTTAATTTATCATACTGAATTATAAGACGCTATACTTTAGAGTTATCTATTATTCCATATTATTGAAAGCAAATAAACCGGTCTGATAAACACTTGATCATTTTATTTTTTTACAAGTTCATGGATATTGCAAAATAATAGTAATACACTATTCATTGTCATATTGCTACTACACACAAGTCATTCAACTGTTTCTCATCTTCTTTGCAACAACGTGTTCTAAAATTCTATAACTTATTCACTGATCAAACTGGTTTGAATTTTTTATGCTGAAAGAAAGATTATCTCCTCCTTACAAAAATTAGAATTCAAAAAAATAATTTATGTCATTTGTTGAAATGTAGCATTATATTCACAAATATACTCAAAACTTTGGAAAAATTAAAAATTTTCATACGTCTTTGAGTAGAAATAGAGCGTATCACTTTTTACGCAATCATAATCATTATTTTAGTTCACATTATTTACATTATTAACTTTAAAAGCTTATAGTCACACAAAATTTATGCTGAATGTCAAAAGCGATCATTTAAAATAATAAATTTTGTATTTTTAATTTCAAGTTTTTTTTTATAATTTAAAATCAGTAATTATATTTTAAAATTGACCTTAAGTTCCTATTAACAAAAAGAAAATAAAGAAATTATTTTTGGCTATTCTTACTACCTAATTTTAAGTCACATGAATCTATAAGAAAGTTTAACATTAAATATTTAATTAAGGTTGAAGCAGATTAACGCCTTGTAAATGACCGTCATCCCGAATGGCTTGTTCGTGTTCTCGTTCTCGATGTCTTCCATCAATACCTTGTCCAATTCGTTCTAAATATTTTGCAGCCCTGTAGCCATGAATCTATTTAATAGATGTAAGATTTATCAGTAATTACAATATTAGTAGGAAAATAAAATGCAGTATTACTTCATAGAACTGCTCTCGCCTTTTCTGTGCTACTTCTGGATCAAAATCCCATTCTGTTTTCTAGAGAAATGGACAAAAAATCTTACATAACATTAAAACTTTCATGCTCGTTTATTGAAAATAAATAATAATAATCGATGTACAATTTTAATACTGTGCAACTCATTTAAAATTATTCGTCTTTTCATTGCCTATAATTACCTTTTACAATTTGATAATTTAATTTCATTACTATTATTTAATACTTCGCTTTTGTGATTATAAAGTAGAAAATTTTCACTTTCTTTACTAATTTTCGATCTTTTATAACGATCAACATCTGCTACGATGCATTACTTCAACAAAAAAGCAAAACCGAAAACAATGTTCAAGCGGCTTTAACATGAATTACATTTACTTTTTTCTACGTTAAGTCTTTCCATTGAAAGTCATAACAATTTTTTGCGTAATCATCAGCATTACTTCTTCCACTCTTAAAACTTTATGACATTTAATCATAATTTGAGAAATGTATATCAAGTCAACTTTTGTTTCTTCTGCATCTATTGATCCATTTATTTTCTATGAACTTCCAATTTTTTTATTTTGACATGCAGTTGTGTAATTAATAATTAATAATTTACCTTATGACATTTAAAATGTATGAAAATAGGTAAATTTGTGAATGAAGCAAAAAGATTATTTAAATGACTAAATATGTGTTGCCTTAAGATAGAATTTGAGCTTTAAAGTGATAGACAGTGAAGCAAAAAGTAATATGATAATATCTTGTAAATCAAACAAGCATCTGACAAGTTTTAACACAAAACCGGATCAAGTCTTGAGCATTTCATTTTATGACCTTGTCTTTGAATCTAGGATATTTCATCAAATGACATTTCCGTAAAATTGAAATAATTCCACATATTTATTTTTAATCACATCTCACTAAATGATATATTGACTTAACGTATGAAGATAAACATTTTTGTAGCTACTGAAATAAATTCGCTAATTAGCGAAATTTTAATTTCATCGCTTTAATTATTTTTTACCCGCATTTAATTAAACATTAATTTTTTTATAGTAACTTCATATTAAGCATTATTTTTTAACTTTTTTATTTTAAATTTGACCTACCTGATGAATTAGAGGTAACCCTGCCACATTCCATTGCAAAATATCCCTTACTAATGAGAACACACCGCATTCACACTGATAATTCCCGATGATGACTAGCATAGACTTTTCAATAAAATTGTCATAAATAAATAAAGGATAAAATTTCATATTTAAAAAATATATTTACCACCAAAAACACATTTCTAATCGAGACCATAATTTAATTTGTACAATTTAAGATAAACAGCTTAATATTTATTTCATAAAAAAAAATCACAATTTTATTGTTTATTGATGAGATTATTCAAAGTTTTCACATCGAGCACTGAGCTTATACTGACTTCTAATTTTTTCAACATCACCAGAATTATCCACTGCGTTGCGACTGTTATGGTATGAGCAATAAACATTATTTCCGTTCGAAGAATATATGTGAATTGCAGTACGTTGCACTAGCCAGAATACAATAAAAATATCAAGTTATTCGACATTGCACTTAAGATTTTCTGTCTTGATTGGTCGATGCAGTGCTGCAATTATAAGAATTTGCTGTAGCTTAATGTAAAGTTGCCTTAATACTAAAAGCAGTAAAACAAATTTTTAAAAGAAACATAAAGCATGGTACACTGAATTCGTAAGAAAATTTTTTGCTGTACACATACATCAACACACCTGAAATTTTCATTCAATACAATTCCAAAAAAAGATATAAATCATGTGGGGTTGATGAAAAAATTATTAAAACAACGTAATCGATTAAAATTGATTTTTTAAATCGTTTAAGGTCAACTAAATGCATTATCAATGCTATCATCAATTTATTGTTTACAAATATTATTACTTTAATCAAATAAACAACCTTTAAAATTTTAGCGGTATAATTAATATGAATGAAAAAATTAAAGTGTAAACAATTAATATAAACGCAAAGATTTATGCAACTTCAAACACGTTTTCAGAATTCACGCATTGTTTTACATGTCTTACATCTTGGTAATGTGCCAATATTTACTTAATATTGATGGAAAAAAATATGAAGACACATTGTGTGCATATTCTTATTCGTTAATCATAACGACAAAATATTAAAAAAAAATTGGCATTCATTTAGGAAATAAAATACTATTTACATATTCTCAGAAGATTAACTTAGCTATATTTATTTACTAGACGTTTTCAATATCCGACAGACGAACTCAATAACCGTTATACAAAGCAAACAACTTCGAAATCACAAAATTAAAAGGAAAAGTATTTTTGCTTAAAGTAAAGTAATAAAATTAATATGCGGATAAAACATTGAGGAAGGCTATCTTAGCAAACATCAAAGAAAAGGTCATTAAACGAATTTTTTTTGCTAACTTTCAGTATAAGCTTAATATATAGTATTTTTTCACCTTAAAAACTTTTGAATTTTTCGGACTATATGTACACGCAAATACTTAAGGAATTCTTTAATTATTGGATAGTTTTAGCAAATTACACTTGAGTTTTTGCTCAAAACGACATGATCTTGTTAAATATGACAGGTATTTTAATGAGATCTAAAAATGACGGTTATAGAAACACTGTTTGATTACTAAAATGTGATTTTTTTTTTTTGTGATAATATCACATAATATTTCTTCTTTACAAGTTCTCATCATTTCTATAAAAATGAGACATTTGTTATTGCTGGTTCAGAAATCTCAGATAAATGTTTTACACTAAAACAGCACTTAAGAATAGTATGCAATCTTTACGAATTTTTTCCACAGAACATTGATCAACAATGTCTATGTCATAACTTGAATGCGTAAGTTATATCATGCATGCATAGTCAAGAAAGGTTTTGAAATTACGGTTCGTCATAGCAGCTTTTCATCATCAATAAAACAAATGAAAACTCTAGAAGAAACACAATCAAGCATTAAGGTACTTGCTATTACGTCAAAAATATTAATGACCCAGAAAAGTTCGATGTTAAGTTCAGTTAAGTTAACTTTAAATGCGACTTGATCTTTGTAGTGCATTTCCAATGCATATTATTGAGTGCCGTGGTGTAAGTAATTTATTGTTGTTAATCCCTGCGCTTGGAAGTTGTTGGACTATATTTACGATCTTGAATTTTAATCCCAACTTTAGCCTTAGCAGTGCTTCAAAGTGATTCAAACTGAAATAAAACTTTATTAATCTTAGGAAGGATGTATTAAGTCATTTTGTGTGTCAAACTTATTTCCATATTTCTGATCAAGTTAGATCAAGCTCTATAAGAAAAATATTTAAAACGATTTCACGAAAATTAATGTGTCATTTATTATGTAATATAGCTAACTGACCGACAATTTAAAGAAATTACACAATTATTGTGCACTGTCGAAGAGAAATTTTGTTGGATATAAAAAAAACAGATATGTAAAAGACAGTACTTATGTGACGCATTAATACCTGAAGAAGTTTGCAAAACCTGTTTAAAGCAACCTTAACACGACCTTAACGTAAAATTTCTCTTTTTATCTTAATTCGTTTTCTGGAGCAATAAACTTTTCATTACATGACCCTTTCATGTCGGTCGCAGAAATTACTAGTTAAACACTGCATTTCTCAGACAAATTGTCCTACAAAATATCAATATTAAGAAAAATATTGCATAACTTTAAGGCGTGCTAAATAAGAAGCTTTTTCTGATAGGGGCCGTTCACTTATTACGTTCGCACTTTAGGGGGGAGGGGAGGCTTGAAAAATTGTAACCAAATGTAACATAAAGGGGGGGGGGGTGTCAAGAAGTATGTAACGTTCTAATTGTCGTCTGTGTTTTTAAAAAAAAGTTCACGAAAAAAATTTGTTTACAAATTCACTCCAAAAACATTTTTTTAAATTTTCCACCTTTTTAATGATTTATGAATGTCCAGATCACTTTTGATAGCTAAGCAATACATAGTTTTTGTTATATAAAGTAACAAATCAATAGAAACTGGTTTACAAGACTTTAAAATACAATCATAATTTGTGGAAATTTTCAAAATTAAATCAATCATAAGTTTAAAAGTAAATCTCTCTAATTCTGTCATTTATATGATGATTAATATGATCCCATCATTGTGATATTTATCTATTCAAAGTTGATTGGATTTTCCAAAATTCGATCGGGCATAATATTTTTCATGACATTTTTGATTTTCTTAAAAAAAACAATTTTTTGCTTTATATCACAATCCAATAATTCATGAGAATACTATTAATATCAATCAATACATGACCTATTTAGCTGTACAGTATTTTGATGTTTAAGAAATAAATACAAAAGAAATTTAACCGTCTTTTTAGAATAAAAAATTATCAAAATAAAATAAATTATGAACGTTCAGGGGGGGGGGGGGGGGGGGGGGGGAGGGTTGTGAGTTGTAACATATTGTAACAAGGGGGAGGGGGGTGACAAAAGTCGTTTTTTTGCGTAACGTAATAAGTGAACGGCCCCATAAGAAATAATTATTAAACCATAAGATCGTGTGATGAATTGTATATGCTTAAATAAATCAAAATTCCCATGCAATAATATAAAGCTTTTCCTGCATGCTACATGATATGTTTTCTAAAGAAATAAATGGTCACCGCGAAATTTCCATAAAGCTTTATGCAGAATGTTAATTGTTAATGTTGCTTAACATAAAACCATCGATCGTTCTTGCTTTGAGTTTCGAATGTTGATTGGAAAGATTAATAATATCAATTTTATGTCTATATAAGCATTTTTTATCATTTATAATACCCAGATATGTTTTAAAATGCAATTTAAAGCATTTTTGGTTTTGATCATATAATAAGATTCAAATCGTTGCTAATTCATAGACTGAACGTGATGAACTGCATAAACCAATAAATGCATTATCATAGATTTTTTTTGTGATAACACTCAAAACAAAAAAACCTTGAGTGAATATTATATGTAAATTTTTAAGATTGCGGAGGTTCAACACTTCGTCTCTGTCACTTAAGAATGAGTACGTGATAAAATAAAAATAGATTAATTTTCATCACTTTAACAATTGATGATTCGCAGACAATCCAAAAAGCACAAATATCACTACTCTTTCTTACGGAGGAAACACGAAGAACATTGTTAGTGTGTGGAAGAAAACTTTCACTTTTGTACCGTGCTTTTCTTACCTAACTTAACAGCAAAGAAACAACGAATGCTCGGTTTAGTGTTGGTTCAAGACGCAGACGGTTAACATCGTTTTCTTGTATAACTGTGAAATTAAAAGAAAAAAAAATTACTTGCTTCATTTTACCTCATAATCTAAATTCATTAAAACCACTTGTCCAATAAAGTTTCTGGAATTTACGTGATTAAAATATTTGCTTTAAAATGAAATTTGCAAACCTTTTTGTTCTTGTTGTAAGCTTCAAAATATTTTTTACAAATTAAACTCTAGAAAAAATAATAATAAAAATTGATGCATGTAAAATGCTGAAAATTAATGGTTTTAAAAATGATTTATTTTCTTTATTTAAGATCATTGGGGTCCTTATGATGATTATTATACAGGAAGTAACTGCACAATTACAGCCAAGAGCTCCCAATTTCCAATACTTTGAAAGGTATGTAGATTTAGCTGTTAAGTTGTAACACCACAAAAATCTGTTATGTAACGTACTTGGTAACTGACATACATTTCGACTCAAGCTAATGTAGTAGCAACAACAATATTTATTTTTGAATAGTTCAATGAATTACTGTAAACTTTTTATCATAACAATATTAAATGGCCGAAGATGATTTTGATTCATCCATAATTATTTTAATCAGACACACATATGCTTCATCAAAGAATTCAAGATATTTCACGATTCTTATTATATATTTAATAATATCTTTATCAAAATAAATTTTAAATTATAAAACTGTGCTCATGATTTTAGTCTCAGTTATTAATAACAAATTCAATAAAGGCTTTTGAGAATATGAAATTAAAACGAAATAGAAGGACAAGGTTTTTAAAGTGGCATTCTCATGGCTGTCAGAAAATATTCAATTTATTGTTAATCCACACTTTGAACAGATTCAGTATGTTGTTTTATAATGTTTTATAGGCCAAAATACAGATACCCATATTATGATATTCATGGAAAGGGAAAACTTCTTTATGGATACGGAGGTAAGAATTCAATACTTAGATAATTTATTTTTATTTTAATAATCAAATTTATTGCATTCTAGGACCGGAATTGTATCAATACAAGAGCTATTCCCCGATTGAAGGAATTCATTAACATGGTGAATTGTCAGTAAACTATTTTAATAATAAGAGTTCTTCAAGAATGTGTGGTGCACTACAGGCAGAGATCAATTTGCAGTAATTAGTTGCAAACTACCAAATATTTATTGTTAATTATTTTTTAAGACTCAGCTATTCATTTTCTCCAGTAAATTCATTCTCTGAATAAATTTTAATTTTTTATATTTCAATCAATTTTTTGGTTTCGTTTATAATGATGAATCACTTTTATTTTAGGATATTAACATTAACCGTTTTTCCTTTAGAATTTTAATCTAGAGACGTAAGTTGTTCTAGGTTCTAGTTCTTAGGAGAATAGATAAGGAACAGTGACCAAATTCTGTTTATTCGTTTTGAGTCTCTGTTGGTGAATACAGACGTTTAATGCTGTATAGGAATAACATTGTTTTGCAGTCTTCAAATCGCTAGACGTGCGCGCACAACAAATAAACAGTTTTAAAAAATTCAAAATGTTGATTGAACCGATTCAAATCGGTTCTATTTATGAATCATAGTAATTTTTCATTTGAAATAAAGAAGATTTAAAGAAAATTAATTTACGCATTAATACGGAAGTTTATAGACATAAATTAATTATTTGTTGTTTGTTAATTGAGTGTACATACTAAATATATAAAAATGTCCTTTTTCAAGAACCTATTTGGGGCGAAAAAACAAGAACCAGCTCCATCGACATCCGAAAGTATTCAAAAATTGCGTGATACAGAAAATATGCTATTGAAGAAACAAGAGTTTTTCGAACAAAAAGTTGAGCAGGAACTTGAAATAGCAAAGAAAAATGCATCCGCAAATAAAAGGGGTAATGATTTTTACTATCTTGCAAGTCTGATGACTAAATTCGATTTATCACAATTATTGACCTTCGTATAGGAAAGAAAAATATCTATCGTGTAGTATTGTTGTTGCTATATTTTTCTTTCTTCTATGTCTGACGAAATTATCACGATTAAGATTTCCTTCGTTCAAAATTTTTGTAGAAGAAAATTGGTCTACTCAATGTTTGTTTCGCACTTGTTAACTTTCTTTATTTCTAATTTAATTCCAGTTGCACTTCAAGCATTAAAAAGAAAGAAGAGATACGAGCAACAGCTAGAACAACTTCAGGGTACATTAACTACAATCGAAACACAGCGAGAAGCTCTAGAGAACGCAAATACTAACGCAGCTGTATTAGATACAATGAAAGGAGCATCTGATGCACTTAAAAAATCACACAAGGATATGAATATTGACAATGTCCATGAAATGATGGACGATATTGCAGAACAAAATGATATTGCTAATGAAATTTCTAATGCTATTTCAACTGGCATCATTTCGTCTGGCGTCGATGAAGATGAATTGGCTAAGGAATTAGAAGAATTGGAGCAAGAGACCTTAGATTCAGAACTCCTCAATGTCACTCCGACACCAAGTAAATTGCCGGATGTTCCAAGTACCGATTTACCAACAGCTTCAAAGGAGAAGAAAAAGGGTAGCCAGCAACTTATTTCATTTGAAAATTAAAACTAATGATATGTGTTAATTATTATTTTAGCGAAACCCGTTGCTGCCGAGGATGATGAAGATCCAGACATGAAGGAACTTATGCAATGGGCAAACTGAGCAGTTTATGCCTGATAAATTTTCCAAAAAGAAAGAGTTTAAAAGTTTGATATGAATAATAATATTATTTAATCCAAATGAAATGCTAAAGCCTCCTATTCAAAAAGTAATTGTAATGTTTGTATTTTATGTAGCATCATGGTGGTAAATTAAAGGAATGCTTGGGATGTTAGATGGAGATGCTTTACATATTTTACAAATCTTGCTCATATTTTATTATTATCCTCTATGTATTTTTTTCACACATAGTTTCATCATATTTTATTTTTATTTGGTCCTTGTGCTAATAATTAAGTATAAAAGAAAATTAAGGAAAAGAAAAAGATTTAAAGAAATCTGTTTAAAAGGGCTAAAGATCGCATATTGACGATAGTCTTCAAAAATAACAATTTAACAACAATGTAAATAAATGTTATATTTTACAAGAAAATAATGGATAGCTATGTACTGAAAATAAGGAGATTTTTTTGAAAAAAAGATTTGAGTCATCGAGAATTCATTGGATTTACCTTTTTTAATTACTTTTTTTTGTTATAGAGCACTAAAAAAATATTGATAACCATTTTTGAAATAAAAAATCTTAAAAAAATTACTAGACGTTATCAAAAATTATATTTGTTTTTAAAGAAGATTAGCATGTTAGTAACTTTTATAAAAACAAATATAATTTGAATATCTTGGTTCCTTTTCTGCTGTCTAACCGAAACAAAATTTGCATTTAAAGTTTTAAGTTAAGTAAACTCAATTGTAGAAAGTTGCATAATTTCTTGTAAAGCAATTGACTATTGCATATGTCATAAAAGTCACGTTAAGCTTAAACAGTTTGATCGAAAAATTTCATTTTCTTTCACCCTAAAATATATATAATAATATGTTTAATTGAAGATGCGATATGAATATAAAGTAATTTTATTGGCAATCGAAATAAAAGAAATTCAGTCATTTAAACTTTTTAACTCAAAGTGACAACATCAAACAAGAAAATGGTAAAATTGTCATATTGATAGGAACCCAACTGCTTAATAAATTTTTTTCAATATTTTTTTAGAAATTCTCTTTAGTCTTATTGTCAATTTTAATGACTGTCGCAAATATTCGAGCTACTTTTGACTGGAGTAACTTAGATTTGATGAATTTTCAATATTTTAAATATCCATCAACAACATCAAAACCTTTATTCTTCAAATCTAACGGACATTTGTATTCTATCCGTAAAATTCCTGAAACACCAAGCAAATTTGAGGATTTCATCAACAGAAGTAAGGCAATGTATACATACATAAAAGCAGTTGCACTTGGAACAAATGAAGAGAGAATCAGAACAACACATATTGTAGATCCTGATATGGGAGAAAAATTAAGTCAGCAATTTCAATTTAAACATGGAAAAGGTGCAGAAAAGCTTGTTGAATTTTTAGGGACTGGACCATCTCATGAAAGTTTAAAGAGTGCCAATGTAATTTAATTGGTTTCCAATAAATGTGTAATTGCATTGTGAGCTACAATTTAAATTTATTTTTAAGGTTTTTAAATGCTTATATTTCTTAAGTAAAGAAAATCACAAAAATTCAAATGTGAAATTTACTTTTCAAAAAACATTTATTTGCACACGAGCAGCACAATAATTATTAAATTAAATTTCTACGCAGATGGTGCTGGTTTCTTATCGTCAATTGCCGCTACTCGAGCACGATTGATGCAATTCATGAAATCTTGTACTTCATTAGCACACTTTAACGTTTCTGTTGGATTTTTGCGATAACAATCTATGATTCGACTCTTAAACTCCTGACATGGTGGAGCTTGATTAGCAAAAGATGAATGTTTAAAGCGGTTCTTCACTTCAGCAATCTAAAATATTCAATAAAAATATTAAGCATAAAATGCCATCGATTTTCAGAAGGATATTTACTGTGTCATTGAATTCTTTCTCAAGGATCTTATTGTTTTTCAAAAATTCATCTTCCTGCTTCTTAAGACGCTCTCCCCAATACTGATCATTTGCCGACAATTCTGCTTCCTTTTCTTTACGCACTTGCATGGCTGTTATTGTTGGAGCCGATTGATAAATTACTGTCTGCATTTGAGGAGAAATTACGGAAGCTTGAACTGGCTGCTGCTTTATTTGTGCATCTCGTATTTCTGCCTTCTTCGTTTCCCTCTCTTAGCATAACACAGCAAAAAATAATAATGATATTAAATAAGACTAGACTAAGGAATAAGAAGAAAAAAAGTATATGTTGTGATTGAATAACAAATTTTCACCTTTTGTAATATCCTTTTTTAAGCGAGAAACGACATCTTCGCTAATGTCAATTATTCCACTCGACTCATTTTCAAATGACACTGTTCTAGTTTTGCTCTGTCCTTTCCCCATTAGTTGCTAGTTGTGAAAAATTAACAAAAAATTATAATTCACAAAATCGAAATTTTCGATGAAGAAATTGAAAAAGGGGTACACACACTTTTATTTTTGATTTGAACCGATTGAACCGATTCAAAAATAAAAATAAACAAACAAACAAAACGATTGTCAAACAAGCTGAAGGATTTAATAATATTATAAGGATGTCTCGTAAGGAAGCTTTATCACAATTTATCAACCAAATTCATGGACGAGCAGTTGTGGTGAAATTGAACAGTGGTGTTGATTATAGAGGTACACAACAATTATCTATACTTTCCGGTTAATTCTATTCACATGCCGAATTAATTTGTATCTTTACAGGTGTTCTCGCTTGCTTGGATGGATACATGAATATTGCTTTGGATCAGACAGAAGAGTACCAAAATGGTCAATTGAAGAATAAGTATGGAGATGCATTTATTCGAGGAAATAATGTTTTGTACATCAGCACAAGCAAGCTAGTTAAAAAATAAAATAAAGTAATTAAGCTTAATTAATGATAAGGAAACAATAAAATCACATGATAATTTCATAACTCCTAAAATATTATAGTGTATAATTATTAAGTACAACTGTAAAGATTAAGAAAAATCTGATCTTTGAAATAGCAAATAGCAGTAAAAGGAGGTAGTATTTGATTGATATCTATTAAATGGAATGAAATGTAAGCATAAAATTCACACGAGAACCAAGACACACAATACAATTGCGATTCCGAATTTCTTATTGATTTCATTTCTTTACCGTTATTTCATTGAGTCAACAAGAAGCATCATTAATCCATAAACTACTTCCTATTCACTTTTGTCGATATTTATAGTTTCGCTTGTCGTAAAAAATCATCGATATAATGGATCTTTATTTCGAAAATCTGATGGATAGACACATATGATTGAATTCAGGCATTAGTTTATTCTATTATTTCCCGCAGAACTCAACCGGAATATCTATTAATATCAAGCAATATCAAGTTTTTCTGAGGATGGAGATCATAAAGCATTGAAATAAAACTGGAAATAATTAGTATTAAATAGCGAAATTTAACATGTAAAATGGGTCACTAAAATTTATATTCAATTTGGTTCTTAGCCAGCTTCTTAAAACTTTGTACTGTGTAGTTGTAATCTTCTATTGCTTATGTTACTAAAATATCAATTATTTAAATAATGAGTCATTAATTTGACAACTAGGATAGGAGAAATGGTATTGTTTGCTACAAACTGATGCACTCTGCTTGATTTATAATTCTGTACAGTCACTTTTAAATTCTTCAGCATACACCCACATATCATTTATATTGACAGTTGCTTCGGATTGTCTTAAATTAGATATTGGCACTTCGAGTGCCCAATTTTTCTTCTTCAGACTTAAAAAAAGTACTGAAATATTTTTTAAAAAATACATCACACAGAGAATAAAAATGAACATTTTCATTTACTTTCTTTTTTATGTAAAATAATCGTTCTTATGGCATTTGGATAGGCGCAAAAATCTTCACCATGCTATGGCGTTCAACTAAGTCACGAATGATGTTAAGGTAGAAAAACCAAGATTGTAATAAATAACGTAGAAGAATACGATAAATTACTGTTATTGCATTGGAAATTCTTGATTCAATTTGGTAGTTGAAATTCAAAAGTAGTCTGTCTACAAAATTCAATTAACATTGCGAATCAATAACTCAACACCTTTGATACTAATTTCTAATTTAATTTATTAGATGCATGCATGATGACCTAGAAAATTGTCAGTAAAGAAAATCATTTCCGATACTAAATGCAAAAACAATAGAAATATTTTATAATCTCCAAAACAAACGCAGTTCATCATGAAGAAAACTTCAAAATCTACCATAAAATAATTATTGCTTTACATTTTAGCGCAGGTTTAAAACCTTGATATATGACTGCCTGTGTATTTTTTTCCTAGGAAAAATTTCCCTTAAAAATTTAAAACAAATTCTTAAGCCAGGAATTAAAATAGTGTATCGGGTAGAAACCCAATGCGGATATATTCACACCGTACCATCAAAAGTCTTATGGATAGATTATGCTAATACTAATTTATGTCATAATTATGTCAGCTACAAAAACACTTAGTTCGAATTTTGTCACCCTCGGGAACACTATGAACCAGTATAGCTGATTTTGGTCCAAATCTCGGCAATACTTCACACTTATTTCAACCACATTTTCTCGTTAATGTTAAGATATTATTAAAAATTAATTAATCCTGAATTATGTCGTTATTTTGTCAAGTGTTTTAAGATAAAGAATTTGTTTTTTGGTTTCCACAGTGAAGAGTATGAACAAAATTCAGATGGGGTAGTCGAAATTTTAGATTTCGTTTTTTTTAAGCTATGCATTACAAAAAGTAATATTGGTATGTGATTTATGTCAGAATTATGTCAATTCAAATAAAACATCCAAAAAACTTTTTTGACCAAAGTACACCAAAGAAAATCAATTTTAAATTTTGGACAAGGGGCGACCCTAGTCAAAATCAATTTTGTCACTTTTTTCTTCGAGGGTTTATACAAATGGATTGAAACTTTGCATAAATATTCTAGTGCTTAAAACAAATACAAATAAAACATTCTAAAATTTTTTGAGCAAAGAACCAAGTAGGAAATACATATTCAATTTTGGACTAGGGGCGACCCTAGTCAAAATCAATTTTGTCACTTTTTTCTTCGAGGGTTTATCCAAATGGATTGAAACTTTGCATAAATATTCTAGTGCTTAAAACAAATACAAATAAAACATTTTAAAATTTTTTTGAGCAAAGAACCAAGTAGGAAATACATTTTCATTTTTGGACTAGGGGCGACCCTAGTCAAAATCAATTTTGTCACTTTTTTCTTTGAGGGTTTATCCAAATGGATTGAAACTTTGCATAAATATTTTAGTGCTTAAAACAAATACAAATAAAACATCCTTAAAAATTTTTTGAGCAAAGAACCAAGTAGGAAATACATATTCAATTTTGGACTAGGGGTGACCCTAGTCAAAATCAATTTTCTCACTTTTTTCTTCGAGGGTTTATACAAATGGATTGAAACTTTGCATTAATATTCTAATGCTTAAAACAAATACAAATAAAACATTTAAAATTTTTTTGAGCAAAGAACCAAGTAGGAAATACATTTTCAATTTTGGACTAGGGGCGACCCTAGTCAAAATCAATTTTGTCACTTTTTTCTTCGAGAGTTTATCCAAATGGATTGAAACTTTGCATAAATATTCTAGTGCTCAAAACAAATACAAATAAAACATTTTAAAATTTTTTTGAGCAAAAAACCAAGTAGCAAATACATTTTTAATTATGAACTTGGGACAGGTCTAGTCAAAATCTCGTTTTTCACTTTTTTTCCTTCAAGATAAATCCAAATATAATAAAACTTTGTATGAGCATTCTTATCCTCAGGTCACACATTTCTATATTAATAAAAATCATTTTTTTGGAAAAATTTTAAGTCACGTTGTTTTTATATGTAGAACCAAATTTATAAAATTTGGGTCTGACGACATATAGAATACATTTCTTGCTTTAGATATTTAAAACTATTTTGTATAAATATTAGTATACTCACACAAAGTTTCACTGTAATTGGATAAACCTTCGAAGAAAAAAGTGAAAAAACTAGATTTTGACTAGGGTTTCCCCTAGTCCACAATTGAAAATGTATTTCCTACTTGGTTCTTTGCTCAAAAAAATTTTAAAATGTTTTATTTGTATTTGTTTTAAGCACTAGAATATTTATGCAAAGTTTCAATCCATTTGGATAAACCCTCGAAGAAAAAAGTGACAAACTGATTTTGACTAGGGTCGCCCCTAGTCCAAAATTGAAAATGTATTTCCTACTTGGTTCTTTGCTTTAAAAAATTTTAGAATGTTTTATTTGTGTTTGTTTTAAGCACTAAAATATTTATGCAAAGTTTCAATCTATTTAAAAAAACCCTCGAAGAAAAAAGTGACAAAATTGATTTTGACTAGGGTCGCCCCTAGTTCAAAATTGAAAATGTATTTCCTACTTGGTAATTTGCTCAAAAAAATTTTAAAATGTTTTATTTGTATTTGTTTTAAGCACTAAAATATTTATGCAAAGTTTCAATCCATTTGGAAAAAACCTCGAAGAAAAAAGTGACAAAATTGATTTTGACTAGGGTCGCCCCTAGTCCAAAATTGAAAATGTATTTCCTACTTGGTTCTTTGCTCAAAAAAATTTTAGAATGTTTTATTTGTATTTGTTTTAAGCACTAGAATATTTATGCAAAGTTTCAATCCATTTGGAAAAAACCTCGAAGAAAAAAGTGACAGAATTGATTTTGACTAGGGTCGCCCCTAGTCCAAAATTGAAAATGTATTTCCTACTTGGTAATTTGCTCAAAAAAATTTTAAAATGTTTTATTTGTTTTTGTTTTAAGCACTAGAATATTTATGCAAAGTTTCAATCCATTTGGAAAAAACCTCGAAGAAAAAGTGACAGAATTGATTTTGACTAGGGTCGCCCCTAGTCCAAAATTGAAAATGTATTTCCTACTTGGTTCTTTGCTCAAAAAAATTTTAAAATGTTTTATTTGTGTTTGTTTTAAGCACTTAAATATTTATGCAAAGTTTCAATCCATTTGGAAAAAAACCTCGAAGAAAAAAGTGACAAAATTGATTTTGACTAGGGTCGCCCCTAGTCCAAAATTGAAAATGTATTTCCTACTTGGTTCTTTGCTCAAAAAAATTTTAAAATGTTTTATTTGTATTTGTTTTAAGCACTAGAATATTTATGCAAAGTTTCAATCCATTTGGAAAAAACCTCGAAGAAAAAGTGACAGAATTGATTTTGACTAGGGTCGCCCCTAGTCCAAAATTGAAAATGTATTTCCTACTTGGTAATTTGCTCAAAAAAATTTTAAAATGTTTTATTTGTATTTGTTTTAAGCACTAGAATATTTATGCAAAGTTTCAATTCATTTGGAAAAAACCTCGAAGAAAAAAGTGACAAAATTGATTTTGACTAGGGTCGCCCCTAGTCCAAAATTGAAAATGTATTTCCTACTTAATTCTTTGCTCAAAAAAATTTTAGAATGTTTTATTTGTATTTGTTTTAAGCACTAGAATATTTATGCAAAGTTTCAATCCATTTGGAAAAAACCTCGAAGAAAAAAGTGACAGAATTGATTTTGACTAGGGTCGCCCCTAGTCCAAAATTGAAAATGTATTTCCTACTTGGTTCTTTGCTCAAAAAAATTTTAAAATGTTTTATTTGTATTTGTTTTAAGCACTAGAATATTTATGCAAAGTTTCAATCCATTTGGAAAAAACCTCGAAGAAAAAGTGACAGAATTGATTTTGACTAGGGTCGCCTCTAGTCCAAAATTGAAAATGTATTTCCTACTTGGTTCTTTGCTCAAAAAAATTTTCAAATGTTTTATTTGTTTTTGTTTTAAGCACTTAAATATTTATGCAAAGTTTCAATCCATTTGGAAAAAACCTCGAAGAAAAAAGTGACAGAATTGATTTTGACTAGGGTCGCCCCTACTCCA